GTTTGACTATATATTTCCTCTATTTTTTAGATATAAACTTATATGGCTTGACTACATATTATGTTTAATACATTTTTAATTTAAAACTAATAAACAGTAAATAGAATGACCTATATCTCTTATATTTTCTATTATAATTTACATCAAATTTTTTAAGTGGATAACATATGTTGCTTTCTACCATTAGCATTTTTGATAAAGTTCATTCTTTCACTGAGAGAAAAAATCCACATGTTTGAGATTTTTTATCTCAAGATTTTGTTCCATGACCAAATGATTTCACTTGCATTGCATAAATATGATTCACTTGAAACCACTAATAAATCAAAAGGTTGTTAAATGTTTGTGTAGGTAGAGACCTAAGGCCAAACCCAAATCGGATTATGAAAATTATCGACATGAGTTGATGGATTTCATGGTGAATTTCCTAAGAATATTACTATCCCAGCAACAACACACTTCATTTGGCAACTGATGGATGATCGTGGCGTTTGTACGTACTGAGTTTGCTTTGGTTTGGTTTGAATAAAGCATGGTTTTTTGATTTTCTGTTTGCCTTGCTAATTCTTAATTCTTAATCCTTGTAGCTATTACTTTCTTTCTTTCTTCCCAACTTAACTGTTGTATTTCCTAGTACCCATCTTTGTCAGAAATTCCTCTGTTGTTTATTATTATACTAGTAGATTTTCATGATGCTGAAAACCAAACTAATTAATAATAACCAAGAGAAATCCATGAAAATTGCAAGGGAAATACTAATACTACTCTACAATCTACATAACACAGTCACAATCGGTCTTATTTTATAGTCCACAATTTACAATGATTCTTCCATTTCTCAAGTACAACAATGTCAACACAAAATGATTAGTTTGTTAAGTGCTTATTTGACACCAATGTCAACATAAATAATCATTTTATGTTGACTAGTTTTTTTTGGATCGATTTTGTTTATTCTTAGATTTTAAAAGTGTAATGTATTTATATTAAAAAATGATAAAAGATTTTCTAAGAAAAGCACAAAAAGAAATCAGAACCCACTGTTTAAGTCCAAAGGTTTGACATTATCTCTTAAACCCTAAGGCTATCACTGTGAGTGGAAACAACACTTCGAATGCGCCTATTTGTCTTACCTCTCAGACAAATCTTCTCTTTTCGTCAATTCCAAACCAATTCGATCCGTCGTCAATCCATCGCTCCGATCCAGATTCCGATGGACGCCACCGAACAATCTCTCCGTCACTCCCTTTCGGAGAAATCCTCCTCCGTCGAAGCCCAGGGTAACGCCGTTCGCGCCCTCAAAGCCGCCCGTGCAGCGAAGCCGGAGATCGACGCCGCAATCGAGCTTCTCAACAAACTAAAGCTCGAGAAATCCGCCGTCGAGAAACAGCTCCAATCCACTATCACCAGCTCCGGGAACGGTTCGCTTAACCGTGAGGCATTCCGGCAAGCCGTCGTCAACACTCTCGAGCGGCGTTTGTTCTACATGCCTTCTTTCAAGATCTATCGTGGCGTAGCTGGGCTCTTCGATTACGGTCCTCCTGGCTGCGCTGTCAAATCCAATGTTCTTAGCTTCTGGCGTCAAGTAAGGATCATCAATTTCACATTTATAGAAAGTAGAAATTGTTGTTCGTTCTGATAATGGTGATTGATTCCTCTCTGTTTTCCAGCATTTCATTCGTGAGGAGAGCATGCTAGAAGTTGATTGTCCATGTGTGACACCAGAGGTTGTGCTCAAGGCATCTGGTCATGTTGATAAGTTCACTGATCTTATGGTCAAGGATGAGAAAACTGGAACATGCTTCCGTGCGGATCACTTGCTCAAGGATTATTGCACCGAGAAGCTTGAGAAAGATCTTACCATTTCTGCTGAGAAAGCTGCTGAATTGAAAGATGTTCTTGCTGTGATGGAAGATTATTCTCCTGAAGAGCTTGGTGGCAAGATAAATGAGTATGGGATCACTGCTCCAGACACGAAGAATCCACTCTCTGATCCTTACCCGTTTAACTTGATGTTTCAAACATCCATTGGCCCATCTGGTCTGACTCCAGGGTGAGTATTCTTCATGTTGTAATTGTGTTCCAGAGCTAGTTTTTTTCCTGAGTTCAATTTTCTTTTTGTGTGCCAGTTACATGCGTCCTGAAACTGCGCAAGGCATATTTGTGAATTTTAAGGACCTGTATTATTACAATGGGAGAAAACTTCCTTTTGCTGCAGCGCAAATTGGTCAAGCCTTTAGAAATGAGGTTATTATTCTTCAACTCTTCAAGTTGCTACTACTTTGTTTAGTAGATTGGATGTTTTTTTTTTTCTCTCAATCTTCCTGCAAGGGATTCTTTTTTCTATCATGTCGGGGTCTCAATAAGTAGCTTATTACTCGCAGATATCTCCTCGTCAAGGGCTTCTTAGAGTTCGTGAATTCACGCTGGCAGAGATTGAGCACTTTGTTGATCCTGAAAATAAGTCACATCCTAAATTCTCTGAGGTAGCAAATTTGGAATTCCTAATGTTTCCAAGAGAGGAACAAATGTCTGGCCAATCTGCAAAAAAACTTTGCCTTGGCGAAGCTGTTTCTAAGGTCAGTATTTGTAATCAAACTCGCAATTAATTTTATTATGCACTCGCACATTGTGTTTAGTTTTGTATTGATGCATGCAACTGAAAATGTATTCGATAGGGGACCGTGAACAATGAAACTCTTGGATATTTCATTGGGAGAGTGTATCTTTTCCTTACCCGCCTTGGCATTGACAAGGAACGGCTGCGTTTCCGCCAGCATCTAGCAAACGAAATGGCCCACTATGCAGCAGATTGCTGGGATGCTGAAATCGAGAGCTCATATGGGTGGATCGAATGTGTTGGGATTGCAGATAGGTCTGCATACGACTTACGCGCTCACTCAGTAATAAACTTACCTTTTACTTTCTCTTTTTTTCATTTTTCTTTTGGCAGCTTTCAAACTTACTAGAGTTGATTGTGGATACATTGTTGTATCGCAGGAAAAAAGTGGTGTTGCACTTGTGGCCGAAGAGAAATATGCAGAACCTAAAGAAGTAGAGGTATAATCCGAGTCAACATTTTCATCTCAGTCTTTATAACTTTTTGTTGTTGATATGTTTCTTTTCTCTTTCAGAAACTTGTTATTACTCCTGTGAAGAAAGAACTGGGTCTTGCATTCAAAGGAAGTCAAAAGAATGTGGTTGAAGCTTTGGAGGTAGACTGACTGAAGTCTATTGTTTAATTGAAAAGCTTCTTTTTCGTTTCATAGTGATGGTTTATAATAAAGAAGATGCTTTGTGTAATGTTTTGGTAGGCGATGAATGAGCAAGAAGCTATGGAGATGAAAGCAACCCTGGAATCCAAAGGGGAGGTGGAATTTGAAGTTTGCACGCTTGGGAAAAACGTGATTATCAAGAAGAATATGGTTTCAATATCAAAGGAGAAGAAGAAAGAGCACCAGCGGGTTTTCACTCCGTCAGTGATTGAGCCATCGTTTGGGATTGGTCGGATCATATACTGTCTGTACGAGCATTGTTTCAGCACAAGGCCTAGCAAAGCAGGGGACGAACAGCTAAACGTGTTCCGATTCCCTCCTCTTGTAGCTCCCATCAAATGCACGGTTTTCCCGCTTGTTCAGAACCAGCAATTCGAGGAAGCAACCAAAGTCATATCTAAGGAACTCACTTCTGCTGGCATCTCTCATAAGATTGACATCACTGGTACGTGAAAACGATTTGGAAACTTTAAGCTCTTTTAGAATTTTGTGAAATGGTGCAAGCAGAGTGAAGATTTGTGTTTGTGTGTGAATAGGTACATCGATAGGGAAAAGATATGCGAGAACCGATGAGCTAGGAGTGCCATTTGCAATAACAGTGGACTCGGACACATCTGTGACAATCAGAGAAAGGGACAGTAAAGATCAGGTCCGAGTCACCTTGAAGGAGGCAGCCTCTGTGGTGAGCTCAGTCGCCGAGGGGAAGAAGACGTGGCAAGACGTGTGGGCAAACTTCCCTCATCACTCTTCTTCTGCTGCAGACGAAGATGAGTAGATATTGCTCCCTCAATATTCATGCAAAAATTAAGAAAAACCTGAACCACTGTGTCTTAGTACTTTTCTTTTTTTTTTTGTTTAGTGAAAATCGTTTGTTGGATCTTCCTATTTTGATGTTTTATACTGTCTAAGAAAATCTCGATACCAGATTTGTAAAACAGAACTGGTTATACTTCGGGTATAAATGTTTCTTTCCACTATTGCGTTCCAAACAATCAATAACACAAGTATAATAATATAGGGGTGGTATAACATAGACGTGTATATGTATTTTCTTATATACGGGGTTCTAAAGTCATTAAGCCGAAAGGGTCTTTTTGTTGTTAAACCAACTTTTGTAATCAAGTTTCAGGAAATTGCAATCTCCATATTAATAAACTGAATGCAGGTTCAATCGTGGGAATATTCAAGAGTTGAAAAGGGTTATTACTCACTCAGTGATTGGACCATCGTTTAAGATTGGTAGGATCATATATTGTCTGTACGATCATATTATTTCAGCATAGCTGGAGACGAACAGTTGAACGTGTTTCGTTTAGTAAACGTTAGAAAAAAAAAGTCAACAATGTCCGCTTTTCTATGCGACCAACAAAAAAAAGGCTGAGACTTTCTGTAAAGACACAAATTAAGACATAAGTTAGAGACTTTGTTGACCAATAAAAACCAAAATATTTGATGCAAGTCATTCCGTAGACTCAGCTTTCCATTTGTTTGTTTATTTGCTTACAAACATCATTATCGCATAATAAACCTAATCATATATACAATTTATCCTGATTCAAAGAGGAAAAACAAAAAAACCATAGTGATCTTCACAAAGCATAACTCTTTTAATAGCAGTAGGTTGTCTTTGAATACATGTATAATAAAAATATATACTTCTATATAAAGGTATTCATAAATGTAATATATATAAACGAAAGATTCGGATCTCTTGTACTCTCTCTCTCAAGGTTCGTGCTTCAAGAACATTGAAGGAACAATGTCCTGAAGAAGACCATAGTCAACAACTTGTTGATCATGAGTACTACTATTATAACTAGAGTTACAATGACTGTACTGTTCGTACGATATAGATCCCACCGACGACTGATAATTGACCGGAGGATGATGATTCATCATGAGAAACTCTTGATGGTGACTTGGGAAGCTATGGAGGAGACCGCTTCCACCGTGACCTAATAGGTGTTCGGCCGCGACATGACCTCTCAACGTCGATGGGATCGGATGGTTGTGTTTTCCTTCGTAAGTTGTAATTACAAACGACGGATCTTGAAACGATCTCTCTACACGTTTCTTTACGTTACATTTCTGCGTTGTGCACTTATAGTAGCCCCTGAAAACGCATACATAACTCTTACATACATATAATTATGAGAAATATACTTGAACATAATGGACATGTAAAATATAAAAATATCGGAGTATAGTGAGGAAGTGAACCTTGGATAAGGGCTGTTCTTGACGGCTTTTTGTCCATATTTTCTCCATCTATAACCATCTTCAAGATGATCAACCTCGCTTTTGGTCATAAATGCAACCTTAGCTTCTCTTTCTTTCTTCTCTCCTTTACTTTTACCTTTTTTTGTCCTAACCATATATTCATCAACAATGCACGTTATTCTCTAGGGTTTCAAGTTTAAACATCTAAGATTTTTAGACATTTAGTGATTCTTGATTTCCTGTCGTTTGAGCTTTGGTTCGGGATATCTAGTTACCCAAATAGAAAATTAATAATTTTTAAAAAGTGCTTTATAAACACTTACCAAAAAAATCAAGTAAATCTGAAAGAAAATTTGGGAGCCATAATCCAACCGTCACATTTTGATAAAGTAAACTGAAAAAAGAAAAGACTCACAATTGCTTGGAGCATTCACCAACACCATGTTGGTCACCTTCGTTATTCTCCATTTGGCCACTCTTATCGTCGAGTTTCTCTTTAGGGTCGGCTTCATTGGAGGAAGAAGAGACTAGTGGAGAATTCGGATTGATATTTAAGTAAGGGTAATTCACTATTTGGCCCATATTGGATGGTGAAGTCGGTTGGAAAGGGGAGCTATAAGGTGAGAATTTGAAGGCATTCTCGAGTGAGCTATAATCCATTACTAAAGAGCTTTCTAAGCAATCGGTTAAGCTCGTGAAGGATACTTTCTCTAAAGAAGTGTTCGCGAGGTCAACATGATCATCCATTGTTGAAAAAGAGGACAAAGAGAAGAAGAGGAAGAAAGTTTTATGTTATATGTGGACTTTGGGTGATCTAGTCTTATAAATACAAGTCCATTCACCTTTACTTCCTTCCTTGCTTCGGTGGTCTTTAATTTTGAATATTCAATTAAGATCTTAGTATTTAAATTTTTTTGGAGCAATAGCTTTTTGGAGAATAAATTTATTCTTCAATAATGTTGGCCCGTAAGACTTAATGAATTTTCATAGATATAAAAAAACCAATCGCTTAAGATATACTAAAATAAACCTATGTAAAACATACTAATTTAATTTAATATAGTATTACAAATGTTAATATTAATTAAGTAAGCGAATCTGACTCACTACATCATTTAGAAACAGGACATATAATTTTTCACATACGATTTCTACCCACAGTACAAGAATCTATGATAGACAATTTAGTTAAACTTAACTAACTAATTTATTTCCATTTTTAAATTTAACTTTTGAAATAATTTTTTTGACTGACCATAGTATATTATGGAAAAGTTTTGAAAAACAAATATTTTAAGAAACCTACATATATTTAGTACTATATTGTAGATCCAAAATATATTTTGGTATTAAATGGTAGAATGAATTGAAAATCCAAATTTTATGCATGGCATGAGAAAGTTTACTTAAAGACGGTATCAACAACCTAGGTATGATCGATTTACTATCCGCAACAATCATTTTTAAAGAAGAAAAAGATTTCTCAATTACCAAAATATCAAATATGGTATGTAATTTGAAATAGTTTATGAAATGTGAATTATAAATTAATTTGAAAAAAATATCCAAAGGGAGAAAATAGAACTTTGAAAGGGTCATGATCTTTGAAGACTTTTAATGGTTAAGTTATATTATATTGTTACCAATTTCTTCATATATGTGAAAAAAGAAAGGTTTGACAACTTCAACTTCAAATTAATTGGCTAGAGCTATTGAACAAAAAGCAGTTTCTATGGAGGAAACATTAAACTATTTTTTTTCTCCATTCTCTCCTATCTACCACAATATGGTATACCCGAAAAAAGCCAATTAATTTCTAACTTGATGATTCAATAAAATGAATTGATTTACGATATATTTTTTAATAAAATGGATAGAGCAATTCAATATTTTAAAAATGAAATTAAGATATAAGATCAACCACACACATCGTCCACGCAAGGGTAAAATAATAATAATAATAATAATAATAATAATAATAATAATAATAATAATAATAATAATAATAATAATAATAATAATGCTTAGCTAAATTTGCTTGTAACTTCAAAATATACATTTTGACGATCATTGCATTTTTCTTAAATATATTACACAATTCACATGATGATTGGTGCTATGAATATGGTCTTGACTTTAAACATATAAATAAAATAAAAATCTCGGTTGAAAAGCAAACGCATACGTACATCTTATTTATCATTTATGCCATATATAGTAAACATGATCATCAGTACCATATTATGTTATCAAATAAATGGTTTAAGACCATATACAATTTCTGATAGATGTTAATCTTCATTAAGATGACGATCGATTAGAAAAAATCAGAAATTGAGGTCTTTGTAAATTCAATATGATTAGGTATTTCAAAAGTTTATTTTTGTAAATCCTGCTAAGTAATATTATAAATAACACGATTAAATAGAGGTCAAACGTATATATAAAGCAATGTAGACATTGTACTTACGTCCAACATTTTTGCACTCGTGAAAATAGGTCTTTCTGGGCGAATTATAGATTAATACAAATGAAGTAAAATTAACTACATGCAGTCTCTGTCTTGCCTTTCTCTAGAACCCTTTTCCTTATTACCTTTTGGTTTATTAATACAATAAAGTAATTAATTTTATTTTTTTATTTTTTTGTTTAAATAATGGTTTAGGATATATACTCCTTACTTTCGAGCTACATTATTGGGTGTTGATTCAAAGTCAACGATCGAAGACCACTTGTTTTGTGAACAGTCAATAGCTTCACTTTAAGACTAATATTTACTTGAGTATAAGATAAGTGTTTAGGCTTATCCTGAGACGTAGAATAAGAATCTTACCATCATATCATATTTGAATGAACAAATATACCAAAAACGTTAGAGAAAAAAATATACAGAAAAGATAACAATAAAATGATATTAGAGAAAACTTATTGCAATCAGTGTTCTAGTATACAGTAGAACAAATGGCTAGATGTAATAATTTTTACTATTCTGACTGAAATAAGTACTAAATTTTTTTTCTTTTTTTGATCAAAAAATGAAATTCATTTTATCTCTTTGATAAAATCAAATTCATTTTATTTATTTATTATTATTATTATGTTGAAAATTCATTTTCATCTTTTAATGATATGTAAAAGAAGATAATTAGAATAGAGAAAACATATTACTAACTATTATTTGAAACTTCGGAAACATAACTATTAGGGACGAAAAAAGTTTGGAGGAATAATTTGTGATGCATCTAAATTAACCGTATGGTTGCATTTTTGTTTTTTGAAGCTTGTTTCCCATTTTTAATGTTTGCTAATAGCAAACATAAAAAAGTGATAAAAAAGAGACGTGTAGGACAATGGCACTGTCTTTGACTGTTTGGGTCAGCAAAGTCGTGCATCTTACGTGCTCTTCCTTTGTCTTTGATGACCCCAGCCCTATGTCAATCTCAAAAATATCGGGTTTTTTTTTTTCACTAAATATCAGAAGTTTACAAAAAAAAATTAAAGAACTAACTAATGAGAATTTGAAATCAATAATTACATTTTACGTATATATATCTAAAGTTCTTCATATAATTTGGTCTTTTGTCTTCATAATAATTAATCTCCACTAAACTAATTTTTATTAAGATCTAAAAATATTTGTTAATGCTTCGAATTCGAATTGACTATAACTGATATTCTCTTTTTATTACTTCATTAGGAGCAACTAAGATAATACGACTTTCTATAATATTCTATTGATAATAACAAAATCATTGAAATCACCAAGCAGTTGATTGATTAACAATCTGCATTTTATTACACTTTTCAGAGTAATTATAGGTTGCGATGGAAAACTTAGAAATATCAAATGAATAACCATTAATGATTGAGGTCGAAAATAATCTTTGTCACCATCCACATCTAAATTTGACAATCAACTCTTCGCAACAGCTCAACTGAACCAGAGTTTTTATCTTCCTAAATCTATTAAAAAATAATCACAAATGGGATAAACAAATTATGTGTCAAATTTGAAATGAATAACCTACCAAGTAGCAAAAAAAACCAACCATGCCAATATCAAGATTATAAAAGCTTTCAGTCATCGGCCTAAATCCACATAAAATCTCTTCTTTTTTTTCTTTGGCAATTGATGGTTAGGGTTTTTTTTGGTTAAATAATTATTTTAATAATATTCATTTTGGGTGTTTTGGCCCATGGTGTCTTCAAATCTATAACTACCACTTGATGACACAATTGTAGCCTTTTTAAAAAAAAAAAAAACATGCCAACGTTTTACATCTTAATATTTTCTTAAATAAAATATCTATATGTAAAATCAGACATAATTAGTTTGACAATTTCTTAAATTTTTATTTTTATAAATATTGATATTAGCTACTTGTAGAAACAACTATCCGCCTGGATTTAAATTTATGATAGAATTCGGTTTTTATTACAGTAGTTTTTTTACAAAACTGAAACCTAAATTACCTAATGCAGTCTAATCCATTTGTTTTAATACGTACATTAAAAGGTTCATATTTTAATATATAAGATTAGAAATTAATTAAATTAACTTTTAATAGGGTTTATCTTTGGTAATTAATCTGGTAATTTTATTGACTTTTTCTGTTTGGTTTTAGTCTTCAGCTAAAAAAATTCAACCAAAATAAATAAATCATCTTGATTTGAGTATTTTAGTTTGGTTTAGTTCAATTTAATCATGTATTTAAATACATTTGAGATTAGGTTAAGAATACAAATATTTGTTTTTTTATCAACATTATAAAGACACAACTTTTTTAGAAATTCAAAGTTTCAAACCAAAAGTTTACATAGATTTAGTTTAGTTTGTTGCACAAAAAAAAATTAGTTTAGTTTATCTGAATCTTTGCTCATTGGCCACTGCATAGTTTTTCTTTCTTTTTTTCTGAACAACTAACCTTAAACCAAAAAGTAAAAAAAAAAACTTTTTACCAAAACTGTCCGAAGAATGGGTCAACAAGACAACAACATTATCTCTTGGAATTCGCTTTTCGTTTTGTCACGAGGAACCTCAAAGTTATATACACCATGATTCCACACACTATTTGTTGTCCATTTGCATATATATTAAAAAAGTTTTCAGCATAACTCAATGGTTTAAAATGCTAAGCACTAATCGTACTTTTGTGTAGCATTGCTAAAATGCTAATTAATTTTTTTGATTAATTGATTCTGATAAAACCGAAAAGTTTTACCATCACCAAAACGTGGCAGCGTCTAGATGTGTTATTTAGTTTAAATTTGTACAATAAATATAAATATATTTTTTAACGACACATATCTAGATTTATAGTTATTGTTTTCGATCATGATAGATAAAATAATGTGAAATTAATTGATAGGTTAAGTATGGAGACACTTGTACAAATAAAGATGCACGCAGCACAGTTGTTACTTTTTCTTTGACATTTACCTACCAAATTTTTAGTTTGCTAATGTGTTTTTTCCTGATTTGCTAGTTCGATCGTAGCTTATATTTACAATTAGTTATTTATTTTCTGATATTTCATTGTGATGTACTGATGTGAATACCAAAATAACAAAAGTTTTCCTGTAATTAGTTATTTCTAGAAAAAAAATTGCTTACTGTAAATCATATTTTTGAACCTATAAATTACGATGTTTTTTTTGGATCTATTACGAATTTTGCTATTCTCAAAAAGAACTTAATCGAATTATTAAAAATAAAATCTATATTAATTAATCCTTTTCGAAATTCTGCAGCTAGCAAACATGTGTATTACTATTTAATACTCCCTCTGTTCAGAATTATTTGATGTTTAAGGTTTTTGCACACAGTTTAAGGATTCATTTAATTTTTATTTTTCCTATACTAAAAATATTATTTATAATTCATTTAAATATCATTCAACCAATAAGAAGACTATCTGCAGAATATAAAAAGTCAAAAACTATAAAAATTCATTAAATTTTGCATTGAAAAGTGAGAATATCAAATAATTCTGAACAAAAAAACCTTCTAAAACATCAAATAATTCTGAACAGAGGGAGTAATAATGAAAAACCAATATATCAAACCAATCACTTGGAATCTGATAAGTTTATTCATCACTTTCTTATCATAACTATATTTTCTTGTTATCTCTGTATGGAGCCGTGCTTATAGGTTACAAAATTTGGGAGGAAAATTTAGGTGAATAATACCTTTATTTCACGATTAGATAGAAAGCTCTATAGTCAAAACTATACAGTTCTAGTTTACATAAAATAACAAAAAACATGAGAGTATCACTTTGAACTACTCCTGTCAAATCTAGTTTTAAGTTGAGTGTGACACTAAGTTATGAATGTTTTCTTTCATTTGATATTAGTTTATTTAAATGGAGGGAGGGGGGGGGGGGGGGAAAAATTAAAAATCCCCCACGGCCTAAAGGCCTATTCCAGACAGTTATGGGGGTTTTGGGGGGTAATTGGGAAATGGGAATATGAGAAAAAATTATTTAGTTATTAAAACATTTCCAATTAAAATTTTCGTTAGCATAATTTGGGCATTCTTAATTTTATTTTATAATGGAAAAGTAACCTAAAATCCAACCTAAAATGGAACCTCTATTATTATTATTTTTAGAAATAAATATAGTTTACACCGGTTTGCACACTAAAAACAATTATTACAACGTTTCTTGACCTCTGTAACCATCGGCGTATTAGCTATTCTCAAAAGCTAGAATTTTTTTTTGTCAAAAGCTTTTAAAAAATTGTTGATTTTGATCTTTCATATCTCAAGATTGAATTTTAAATAACCTTCATCTTTAAATGTATGTAGATTAAAAACAGAATATAAAGATTTTTTCCCCAATTTTCTTAAAAATCATTTTTCGTTGTTTTGCCTAAAAACCAAAATGCTCTATGATAAAATAGACAACCAAATCAATTTTGTACACGCATCATAAAAAAAAGGGTAGTGTTACGTTCATTTTTACTTTTTTTTTTGTTCCTCTGTTCATTTTTACTATATGAGATAAATATTCAAAAGACTATAACAACCCGACAAGACAACAAAAAATATATTAGGAAATCGAAAAGCATATCAATGAATGAAATATTCAAAAGTCAAAGTCAACGTTTAGCCTCAACCGTATTCGAGATTGCAAGTTCAACATCCACTCCACTAATGACATTTTCTATTGAAGAACAATTCTTGGCGTATATTATTTTAATAAACGGAATTTTGTACGGATCGTAGCACACACTTTGCTTAAACTGTTACGTAACTGGTCTTATTTTATTTTATTATAAGCGTCATAATTATATAATTCACTCAAATGATATGGTTTATCTAATGATAATGAGTTAGTGACTGATCTTTAATAATGTAACTACACACCACTATTCTATATGAGCTCGACTTTGATTTGGTAATCGGTTCAAATTAATTTCGGAATGTTATAGCCTAATCAAGGGAAATTAGTTCTGGTACAAGTCGATTGGGACAAAATAGAAATGGCTAAATGATTATTAATTTTTGTTTAAGACAAAATTGGTAAATTAGTCATCTGACTCGATCGGGTTCTTGTTGACAGAACAAATGAAGCACAAGAACATACAACCAGAGTTAGAATGTATGTAATCATTCTTAGAAAATCTCAAAAAGATTTGAGATGTTTTGTATCTTCTGAACTTCGACAAGCAACGTATTTCTAAATTCGATATAATTTTGTTACAAAAAATAAATTAAAAAGATTTACTCACAATTTTCTTTTAAATAATTCATGATCTCGAAGCATATAATATTTCAGAAAGATTTTTTTTTTCAGAGGATACATCAAAATGTCTCCTTTCTTGTTGATTCATTGAATTAACAACTGACAACTCTTGAGTGTCAAAGTGAACTACTAAGAACATTGTATATTTGGTAAATAGTAAGGTAGATATAGCTTCATAATTGTTTCTTCATTTGTTTTGAGAACTACGACTAACATTTTTGTTTTATATATGTTCGTTATAATATCCTTATTCTCTTTCATTATTTGACGTTACAGCTAACAACTTTGAGTGTCAAAGCTAACTAAGAGCATTGATATTTGGTGATCATTAAGGTGATGTAATGTAATACTCCAACATACCACATTTGTGATGTATTATTTCTTCATTTCGAGGACCAAAATTTCAATTTTTGTTCTCATTCAACTTTGTTTGTTAGTGAAGGTTTTGAGCGATTTTTTTTTTTCCTTTTTTTAACAAACTACTAATACTAGAGAAAGAAAACTAGACAATAATATGTAAGTATTTTAATTGAAATGGAGCCTAGACTTTCTATCTTTGTAAAGTGGACCTGGATAGAAAATCAAAAACAAAGTTATTTCTTTATCCTAAAAAGAAAATATATAATAATGTCCATTCTAAATTTCTTATGTTAGTTACTTTACTATTACTATTTAAACAAAAGTCGTCACTTATTTGACAAAATGATCGCTAGTATTTCGTTTGATCTTTGATTCTTGTGTCATAAACATGGAGTAGCTTCAATCCTTCTTCACCACCACGAAAAGTTGAAATATTGATTCGAACCAATTTTAAAAGCAGAGCATGGATTAATAATCAAACACAATTCAAATCAAACTAGTCAGCGAAGAAACAAATGACCAGAGCCATGACCATATGAGAAGTAGTAGATATTAGAACAGAACCATATTTTCTTTCTTACAATATTCAAACCACAAAAGCCAATGCGAGGTGATGAAGCTAGAGTAAGAGATGGTTCACAGAGGAAATAACAAAAAAATATAAAATGCAGAATTTCAGTTTCAGATTTCTTACTTTTATCGCATTCCAAGCATTTGGAAGATCATCAAGATTCACTAACAATAAACATATTTCACAGTGACAATTTAAGTAGATCTTAGCGAACGCACCAACTCAACAGTGTGACATCCATAGATATACAGAGCACAGGATAACCTTCTTCTTCCTAATCGTCGTCCACCCCACGGCGCCTCTGGATCTGTATACGCATCCGAGATAAACTTACGCTCAATCATATTGTTAAACTAAGACCAAGAGCAAGGCTTTTTGCCTTAATAACTTGAGTTTTTGAGGATCGTGTGACCGTACCGTGACTTTTGTCTGTTTGGTAGTTTGGCTATTTATTTGTTCCAACAGCGTTATAAGCCGCTCCTCAGAAACCTGTAAACAACGAAGAGAGTATTTTGATGAAACTTAGATACGTAATAATCCACGTAGTGTTAGCGAAACTGAGTAGAAACCTGGCAATATGTAAACAATTATGAACCATGAAATGGAAATGTGACTGTATTCTAACCTTCTCAACTATCTGTCCCATTTGAGCAGCCCTCAAAATAACATCCTCTACACCTCTAGCTTTCTCAGGTTTCACCAGGGCAATTCGAGCAACTATAGAAAAAAGAAGAAAGAAAAGAGAAGCATAAGAGATATATTAATGGTGTCGCTCTGGAGCTTTGGAAGATCATCATGAACAAACAAGGAAGAGATACTAGATGAACTTCAAAGCATTTAGATGATACGTACTTCTCTCTCGGGCTTGGGAAGACAGTATTTGACTAAGCATCATTTGTCTACGTTCATCAGCTTCCCTAAACGAATGTTCCAATCAGAGAATAGGTTAGCTCAAAATAGAATTCCAAATTGAAAAGAAAAGAAAAATCCAATGATACACACCTTTTGGCATCTTCTTGTGCTCTCTCTTGATCTGGATTCTGCTGAGTGCCTTGCTTCCCCTGCACATTAGGTTGGTGTACAATGAGCCACAAAGTGCAATTTTTGTTGTTGTTGTTGAAGAAACAAAACAGACATAAGTGATGGTATCAACAATTACCGTTCCATGTCGAGCCATCAGCTCTTGCATCCTCCTCTGTCTAATAGCTTCTAGTTCAGGATCAGCCTATAGACATAAAATTGCAGTATTTCAAAACTTATAAAGAATTATCTTTGGCTAACATGTTACAGTGAAATGATTCCTGATAAATAATCCATCAACTGAAAAAAAAAACAATCGACTGAGTCACTTCTGGGGTACAATTTTTCATTCAATACCAAACAACACCCATTTGTCCTACTATATAGAAGCATATATAATTCATAATATGCAAAAGTGAAACAAAAGTAGCAAAGATAGAGATGAGCCAACATTTCAGATCAAAAGAAATTCAATGACTACAGCTCAAAAATTCCGAAAAAGGAAAAAGAATCATTTGAAGAAAAAAAAAATCAAAGTAGATCATTAAAAAGGAAAGATCAGTGCAAATACAACAGAATCCAATGAAATTCTACAAGGAGAAGCTCGGCGATGAGTGAAAATGTCCTGACACAATGTACAAATATGGATGAAGAAATCAAACAGATCAACCCAGATAGCGGTACGAATTTAAATCACAAAACAATCGAAAGTCTAAGCTATCTAACTAACCATTGATACTTTTAATATATACTTTCTGTTTTCTCAAGATAAAGATTGAATCTCATTTTAAAGAACCCAGATTCAATCAAGAGCAGAACCAAATCATACACAATCGGTTCAAATTGACGTTCCGGTCCAGAAATTGACGAAATTACAACTGAGACTTCTAAGTTAGGCATAATCTCGAAGAAAAAAGTGCCCAAAACCCTAACAAAATTCGAGTTCCTCAAAGATAGAGTAAAAGCTGGAGGAAAACATAAGAAAATTTTCGAGAAGCGTAACAATATCGAGAAACAAACCATTGGAGCAGCCTTCGTCTCTTTCCTCTGGATGCCAAATTCGATTTTGCGCCTCACACCTAAAAAAAACCAACTCAGAGTAGCTCCAAAGGGAAAATGCTTTAAAACCAAACGAGTAGCTTTTTTAAGACGCGCTTCTTCATTTTTATATATTCGCCCCATATGTTTTAGCATATTTTCAAATTTAACCGTAAAATTATCATTTCTAACATTTACCCCTCGCTTCCACCCAAAATCTCTTCCGAGACCCAAAGTCAAAACCTTGCACTAGATACGAAACAAAGATCTAAGTTACTTATGCATATAACTTCGACAGGAAAAGGCAAATATGGGTAAAAGTTGTTAGCACATATAAATTTAACAAGATGACACTTGTTGATATCAATCTAAAACTACTTGTATCAAAACATGAAATATCTGATTAGAGTTTGTTTCACCCCTGGATTAGTATATAGTCAGCATCAAACACATCTCCAGCAGTAGGAGAGAGGTTGTTTCTCCGGACTTGAGCATGAGTCTCTGCTTCGTGTTGAAACACATTGACCACATCTTGTAGCTCCAGCTTCCTAATTTTCACTTGTTCCTCTGTGATGGGCTTTTTGAGGCCCAAGTATATCAGACCCACAGCAATCAGAGCCGCTCCTATCACAACCATGAGTAGAGTGAACAGACCAAACGCATAAGGCGTGTTCTGCGCACCGGGGATACCATCAACGTTGATACCAAACAGTCCCACTATTATGGTAAGCACAAGACCACATCCTCCAAACACGGCTAAGTTATGGCTTACTCTCAGGCTTTTGTCCTGAAATTACAGATTTAGCGTCTCAGCCAAATTCACTTCATCCATATGGAAAGATTGTACGAAGTTTGTAAGTTTGTTTGGTGGAAGAAGAAACCTGTAACCATGCACGGACACTGCTTTGCATGACATCCTGAATTGTGAAGAGACGTCCACGGACTGCTTCTTGTTCCTCCAGCATTTCCCTCGTGTTCTTCCTCAAACCTTCCAACAAACGTCGAGCTATGTATCCCCTCAGATGCTGGAGAAGCTCAAAGATAATCTCCTCTCTTGCGTGTAGTGACCACTTCACTCGAATGACCTGCCATGACAAAGCGAAGACTTCAGGTTCATGGCAATAGTTCGGTTTGTCCCACACGCAAATACCAAGTCTCAGTTATAAGTTATAACATCAACAAAGGTCTTTCAAACACAAGACCAGTCATTATCCATTTAATTCAAATGGAGGCGTAGCTGCAATGAAGAGAAAATGACCTGTCTTGATAATTTCTTGATCTCTTGGTTGAGAATGATACTGAAGAGATTTACATCCTCATGGTTTCTCCTAATAACAAGATAAGATAGTCCCTGTTAGTTAAACATGAATACTGTGTATTATCCCAAACAAACGGATATGTATCTGTAAGAACCTGTTCATAAACTTCAGTTCGATTTCATCAGCTGCACCAAATATAGTTTTACGGAATAGCCTATCATCAATAAAGGACAACAAAAGGATCCGGTTAGATACTATCCAGACAAGACAAGATAGTTAACCAGAACTCAAGTCATTTTGGTCCAGTAAAACTAGACAAGCGTTTATTAGAGAAAAGCTAAACCAGAAAACTGTTGTTACCTATCATCCCATCGAGAAAGACGGCAAGCCAAGTGTGCTATGACTTCATGAACCGTTCTTGGTACATTATAACCTCCTGCATAAAGCAGCTCCTATAAGGAAAAGCAAAAGGAAAAATAACGCAGATCAGTTTCCATATTACAGGCCTATGTTATATTAAGCTACAAGAATCTCATAAAGTAGACTATTTGTGAACGAACCTCTACTTCAGTGATGCCAAGGACATTGGTGTTTGATACATTTCCTTTTACGTGCATCACAGTTACCAGGAAGTTTTTAGCTTGCCAAGCCCGAAAAACAACAGGAACATCATCCTCACTGATTGATGGATCACCAACTGATTGTCCTAAAAGCTCAAACAATAAACCACCAGCAACCCTCACTGGAACCTAAGTAAATGCACCAGGATTAAAAGTTAGACAACAACATCCAAGAAAGTACCCCAGAGATGATTCAACTGTAACGAGCCATCTCAAATAACACTATATGAAAAATTCCCTAAGCTAAGAGACTACAACACATCTATAATCCTATACAAAACAACTATGATCTACGTGGAAGTGTTTTAATAGCAGTGTCTTCAAAGCTACTTAATATCTAAAGTGTGTCTGAATTCTGACTCTCAAATTGCATATATGAATTGGGAACAAGGAGTATACCTCGTATAGAAGGTGTCTCATCCGTTCACTTATTAGCTTACTTTCATCCCTCAATGCGAGACCAATCGCAGGATGCAACCATGTAGCATTTCTGAGCCATTCCTCAACAGAGGAGTGTCCAGCAGCCATATGGCACCACCATGTAGGGCCGCCTGGTCGTTCCCAATACGGAGCCGCTAAATCTGTAACGGGGACATCCTCTTCTTCTTCCATTAACTCCAAATTAGGCCACTCCGCGTTTACTTGCACCTTTTGAAGTAGTTCAGAAATCCTAGCCCAACCAATAGGTACCCAACGACTTCCCTCATATCTCTCAACTTGTGCTGTTGGAAGCACATGGTCTTCATTAAGATCCAAAGAAGATACCGACCTTGACCTTAAGATATCGACTGCAGAGGAATCAACAAACGGGTTTCCAGGGGAAGTAACTCTGGTTTGTCCAACTTCTTGCTTCAAGTGAACAGCCTTTGAATCAGTATGCTTCTTTGCACCTCGAATAAATTCAAAGGCGCAAATAAGCCCATCAGTCCAAAGATCACTCTTGGGGACTCCTGAATGATTTTTACTCTCAAGCTTCTTGGATTTACTCTCTTGAGATACTGAATGATTCTCCCCATTTTCGCCCATGGTCAAGCAATAGAATATCCACCAGCTTGCTCTACTACCTGTATCAAGAATAAGACGGTGGAAACCATTCACATCAGCATCAATGTTCTTTCCGGACAGATATTTCAACTCTGTGAAAGCAAACGGAAAGAGATGGGACTATAAGAAAAACATAAAAACTAACTCACAGAGGGATTAAACCTTAGACTCTAACGCATAACACAAAATCTAAGAGAACTAGAGCTCATCGTATGAAACCAATATCTTCAGATGGATCAATTTGGGCAAAATTATTGTGCCAATGACAACGAGACACCCAATGCAGCGAGCACACTCCTATTCACCCAAAATAACTGTTTACAACAAGACCAAAAGTGCAAAACTTTACGCATCCAATACTAGAAATTACATGCAAGAAACAAAATTACCGAACAAAATAGCGTAAAATTCCAAAAACTTAGGGTCAAGAACGAGCATCTATAACACACAAAAACGCGTAAGAATGCGTCTTCAATCACATTACATTGGGTAGGGTATTTGCAGAAACCCAGGATTTTGTGATCAGAAAATAGCAAGTCCAGCAGAAAGAATCTAAAATCCAAAGATGACGATGATTGAAAGAAGTTTAATGAGACATGGAGAGACAAAAATCCGACTGATAAATCATAGATTTCGATAACTTTCGCACTGGTTTGTAGAAATACTCATTAAAGTTAAGTTGGGAAAGATAAAGTAAAACTGCTTCACAAACCGTTCAATTCACATCCCAGAAAGGAAGACGTGAAAATAAATGATACGAAGGAACAAAATCATCTGAAATGTGAACTCCAACTTACTCAAAAACCGAAACTTTAGCACAAAAATAAAAACTTGCTCAAAAATCTCAATTAAAAAAAAAGTGCCCACAACCCTAAAAAGCTCGAGTTCCCAAAAGATAGAGTAGAAAGTTTGGGAAGAAGGAACAAGTTCGAGAAGTAGAAAGAAAATCTAACCATAGAAGCAGTTTTTGTAGATGCAAAATCCAACACAGAGAGGTAGCAAGCAATGAAGAAGAATCAAGAATGCTTTTCAAAACCATATACAGTAGTTGCTTTTGACTTTGGAGATACGCGCTTCATCGCTTTTACATATTTGCCGTAAGCTTATTTTCGTAACATTTACCCCCTCACCTCTCTTCCGCAAATCTGCCTTTACACTTTTTTAATCTCAAGAACAAAGGTATATCGAACCATATTTTAATATGATTTAAATAAATTCATTGATTTGTATATGCAAAAAAAAACGAATTTATTATGAAAAAGACATTTAACTGATTTAAAACTTAAATTAATTTGAGGATTTGATGGAAAAATGGAGATTTTACATATTAGCCCCATAAGCGTATATTATTACAAGTTCAACCGTAAATTTATGATATGTTCATTTACCCCCTCACCTCCACCATAGACAAAATTCTCACCCAAAATCTCTGTTTTGCTGCGCCACCGATGAGTCGGCTCTTGCTGCCTACACTTTTCTCAATCTCTAGAAAGCAGGTTTACCAAATGATCTCTCCGTTTTCGTGCATGTATATCTCTCTCTATATATCTTCCATGTTACCTATCAATTTTTCTATTTGCGACACTTTCAGGTTCCAGCTGCATCATTGTTCCACAATCTGTACGGACGTCACAAAAGGTAATGATTTGAAATACGTTTTGAGTTTTTAACTTCCAGTGTTTTTTTTTTTTGGGTGAAGAATTGTTGTAAAGGACGGATTTTGATACTTGGGTTGTGATTATAATCTGAGTTTGTATTGTGTTGGTGGTTCAGATTGTTCTTGTTGTTTGTGGTTGAATGAATATCAAGAAGTGAAATCGAATTCCTTGATTTTGCCAATACGTAGAGCTTCTTGTGTACCCTTATTTCTAATCAGATGCAAATCAACCAGTTCCTAATTTTGGTGTATTTGATGTTATTCTCTATTTGATAGAGTTCAATAGAGGATAAATTTCTCTTGGATGTAAAGATGATTTAATTTTCTTGCAATTTCCTTGCAGCTTTGTTCATTGGACGAGTGAGATGTCACAAGATAGTGTAAGATCATCCACAAATGTTGGCTCTGTTTCTGGAGCTAGAACATTTTGCTCCCTAGAAGGTATGAATAATTTAGTCAGTTCCGCTGCTCTATATTCGATATTTGAATCAAGATTTTCATGTTTTCACTGAGTCGATGAATGGCTTAGCCTTCTAGAAGTATGTTTCATTTGTTGGTACCATTTTTTTGTAGAGGCCTGATGTGTATGAACATCCAATTGATTGACTTCTGTATCGTATGAACATACCTCCAATAGAGACGCAATACTAGACATCCTAAGCTTTTTCTATTATATAAAACCAGAAAATGTTGTCACACTCCTCTGTAATGCTAGAACAACTTCTATTGGAGACCCCTTTATCCTCTTCCCATCTTCATTTTAGATAAGTCTGTGGTTACAGAGGGGCAAGATGAGAACGAGTCAGGAATATAATATATTTCAAACAAGTTTCATTCTTCCAATGTGTAACACGATGGGAAGACAAAAGTTACACCATATCAATTCCCTAATAGCTAAAGTAGTTTTCTGCTCTCTTGCAGTAAAATTTCATCTTTTTTTGTTATGTTGTTTCTCTTAATGGTTTGAAGTTTTGGAGATACTGCTATGATTCCATGTTGCTGCCCTTATAAACCACTCCTTTACCCAATTGGTTAAAAGATGGATTTGATGCTTATATTCTTCAGGATTCGTAACAAAAACTCCAAAACCTGCTTATTAATGGGGTATTTCTTTTTGCTCTTTTTTTCTTATATCTTTTGCTTAGATTTATCAGCGAAGAAGTGTGTGCCATGCAACGCTAAGGATCTGCGCCCCATGACCGAACAAAGTGCCCAAGAACTACTTCAAAAGGTATAATATTTGAACTTCTTACTATGGCAGATTGGCAGGGGGAGTCTCTAGAATGTTCCCTCCTGAATTATTCCTTTAACACAGGTTGTTGGATGGGAGATGGCTAATGACAATGGTACACTAAAGCTGCATCGGTCGTGGATAGTGAAAAGTTTTACAAAAGGACTAGACTTCTTCAAACGTGTAGCTGATATCGCTGAATCAGAAGGTATATTATGTATAGCATCAGCAATTCAGCACACATGCTTTGTGACCCTTCTTAAAAAGAGGAAAGATCTGTTAGTATTATTTTCTCTGAAGCAAGGATTGGTGTAATGCAGGTCATCACCCAGATTTGCATCTTGTAGGCTGGAATAATGTGAAAATCGAGATCTGGACACACGCAATAGGTGATAATCACAGTCTATGTTGTTGATATGAATCGTATCAAATGCCTGAAACATCTTTCATTATCCTTCTGATTTCTGATCATATCTAATCCCTCATCATGTACGTTTTCTTTGTGGAATTTGTCATTCGTAAGTGGCGAATAAGTGATATCTGATTCTTTTGCAACAGATGGTTTGACGGAAAATGACTTCATTCTTGCTGCTAAGATCAACGAGCTCCAAGTGGAAGATCTTTTGAGGAAGAAGAAAGCTGCCCAGTGAAATGGTATAAACATGAATTCTGCAAGCTAATTGTGGCTCAGAGTCCGCCAATAATAAGCTTCTTGGGCTCATCATAACTGGGATGTGACGATGTGTTGGTATACAAACACCATGTCAAATCAAGCTTTAGATCTACGCAAGATAAGAACAAAATGAGCTAGAGAGTTTTTGATGTTTCTTCTATGTCTAGGGTTCTTGTAAAGCTGTTTCAGGTCTTACCAATCTCAAGAACCACAAATAATGCAGTGGCTTTTAGTTCGAAAAAAGTACCTTTTATTTCAGAACAAATTAATAATTTCGGATACACCATAATATATGTTTATTTACAACCACAAGCTATCCAAACCTCCATAAACTATTTACATTCAAGAATTTGCATGAATTTATATACAAAGATTGTCATTCTTCCAAATAGATAAAGCCAGTTTCAACGAATTCAGTCTTCAGACAACGGAGAAATTGTTGGGGACCGAACAGTTTCACTGCACACCAACAATAAATTTTCCAGGTCAACTTCTTTTCCATCCATCAAAGCAGAATTACTACAAACCCTTCAACTGTGCTTAAATTCACCTCCCAATCTTCTGAAACAGATCACCAAGCGCACGGTATAGTGGAGCAGCAGCGGGTGGTCTAGGCAAAGAGCCAAGGAGAATGTCAGACGCAGCTAGAGACTGGCTCCCGTAGAACCGTGAGTTCTCACTAGTACGTGTTGTGAAGATGCTTCCTTCAAGCGAGCATCCAACAAATGCACCTTTTCATACAGTGGCGGTCAAGTGAGATTTTAGACTTTTAGGTTTTTTGCAGCAACAAGAACACAAGAGAATATACAGACTAGTTATGAGGCTTAGTTTCGACAATAACTTTATAATCAGCATATTAGAATGAAACTCCTTTTAGACATGGAAACAAAAAAAGCCTAAGAACCATCTACTAAGAAAGTTATCTGCTAAAAACTATTTTGGCTCGAGACACATGTACCTTTGCTGCAACTGTAAGTATAGCAAGCGGCATAACCACCGCTACCTGCTCGGATATCTGCTTCAACGGCTCGTCCAGTCACACCAACTGCAGCGCTTAAACCAGCTCCAACAACAAGATGAGTGTTACTCCCAAATGTTCGGATGGCATCACGAGTTCTTAGAATGATGATAAAGTCTATGAACTCTCCTCCTGCCTGCAGGTGATTGATGAGAAAATAGACCAACCTACCACTGTCTTAATAGCTAAGAAGCATAGACGAAAATATATTTTACCTGAGCACCCCATCCCATACCAAATGAAGAGATGGCGGACGGTGGAGACCAGGAGCCATCATCTCTACGAGCAACCACTAGTCCAGTCCCGATTTTATATGTAACCATAACTCCAACTCTGGCGACAGTGATTACTGCAAGACCTTTTGCTTGTCTTAAAATGGCATCTGGGATGGACCTCTCAGTTCTCGAAGAACCAACCTGATGACAGAAACGAATCGGCCATCAAGACAGTGATACAGTTAAACATTTAAGAAGCTAACTACTTCACTCACAAATTAAAGAGGTTGGGGATGAACTAAGGAACCACAAATCTGACCTTAGTTATATAACCCCGAATAGTGTTTGTTGCCTTATAAATCTCATACTCCATAGATTGTCCCCAAGGAAAATTCACCCAAGACCTCAAAGTACTAAGATCTGTCAAGTCATGGGTTGGCAGCTGAGCAGCAGGACTCACTTGGTCCATCAAATAAGGCTGTACAGACTCCAACCTCACACAACACACATCACAAACCCTTTGGGGATCTGAAACACGAAACTTTACAGGCAGCAAGCTTCTTCCTTTAGAACAGTCCCTACAGAACAATCCTCCACAGTATCGACAGTGATGACGCGAACACATTATAGGGTGAAACCTCACGCTACAAAGCATACAAGCAGAAGCAGCGCTATCTGGTAGCCACTTGGGCGGTTCTGTTTCAAGAATCTCTCTCGCGTTACCAAAGTTTGCCTCGGTGAGAGTCTGAGCCATCTCTTGCCAAGCTTGCTCAAGAAGATGGCCAGACAAAAACGAAATGCCACAACTCTCAAGGTTGCCCGAAGAAAGAGCACTCGCTTTGCCACGTGCTGCGAGTAACATATCAACTATCACATCCCACATGGTTAACTCCTTGTCTTCATCAACGAATTGGTTCCATCCCATATCTCCCTCCGGGAAGTAGCCACCATTGAAGCTAAGGCCTCTTGACCATTCCTCATGATCAGGTTCTAACATTGGTGGGACTGAAACAGGTATCCAAACCCCGGTTTCCTCAGAGAGCGGCGTGTCGTAGAAAAAGTATTTACCGCGCTTTTGTTGATCTGGTTCAAGTCTTTTGCTCTCGTCGACAAAGCCTTCACGTAAGCTAGAATCTTCATCTCTAGTCTCCCTGATTCTATCAGCTTTAGCATCACCATGAGAGCCACGAATTTCTCGAACTCTTTCATCCTAAGATCACCATTCAAAAACATGTAAAATTAACAAACCATTTCGAGCTTCAAATTTCTAGCTTTTAGCTTAAAAACATAATACTAGAAAGTGAAAAATCAAAATTAAGACACCGAACACAGGTGAGTTGCTGTCTATTAGCTGACGATCATAAGAGAAAAAACTCGAAGAACAAAAAGAGAATTCGGAACTAATTGGTAAATACTCTTCACTAAAAGATGCGAGTAGCGAAAATTCAACGCAACCACGAAAGAACATCGAATAAAAGTGATAACCCTAGAATTTGTATGATCGCGTAGAAATCAGACAAAAAAAAGAGCAAATTGTGAGTGAAATCAAAATCGGTGAGCGTCAATCTGTGAGTGGAAGCAAAATCGGAGAGCGTAAATCTCACCATTTCGTAGATTTGTTAATTCTCTCGATTACGAAGCCAATTTTCGATTCTTATAATCTCTGTTTTTTTTTGGGGGAAACTCAGAAACACGACTTTGTCCACAAAAGTTAAACACCGTCGCTAACCTTTCTGAGACGCGACCACATAATCCATCTCTATACTAAACCTTCCCCAGTTTTACTATTTGGTCCTCATAATTTTAAATTATTTAATACTCGACACCAAAACTTTATGACGAAAAGAAATAGGTAAGAATTGTGGTCATGGGTACGCATTTTTCTCAGCCAACAAAGATGCAAAGTCGATTCATACTGCCTTGTAGTTGCTTGGATAATTATATACAGTAAAGTATTAGGCAAATGGAGAGTGCGAGCTCATCTTGATTGAGCATTTGCTAGCTCAAAAGACCTCACAGATGAAACAAAACAAAGTAAAACGATCAGATTCAGGTTTAGGTTCGGATTATGGCAAAGAAGAAGTATCTATGTTCTTAGCATTATAAACGACATAAACAATGAATAACTTTTAGAAGCTACATAATCATGAAACTTCTTTAAACCATTCTTATACCTGCAACTGTTATCTGCCTTGGAACAAAAGAATACAGTGTTACAAATCATATGAATGCATATATAAGCTATGAAATAAACAAGAAGAAGAAGCCATAAATATATGTCTCTCTAACAACAATAAATCTCAACAAATCTTGGCTTAAATCCCTACTTCTTGTTTTGCAGAAATAACACATCGTTGCTCGGGTGTGCTTACAGCTGGAAAAAGGCTTTTTCATATCTGATATCGTCGAAGAATCTCGTCTTCCAAATTTTCAACAACAGTAAGCTCTTTGCTACAAACTCAAGGTAAATCTCCTGCAAAAACAACCCACAACTTTGAATCAGACATGAAACCAAGATACAAAGACACTACATGTCCGAGTTTCCTGGTCCTGAGCTAGAACAAGATATATTTCTTAAAACAGAGGAAATGGCTACAGTTACGCTTTTCACGTCACTAATACAAAATCAGTCGCTGAGAACTTCCTCTTGTCATTGAGAAACATGCTTAAGAACTTATAAGGCTAAAGAACTAGAGCGATATCTAGAATTGGACTAGCTAGAATTTTTCGCATCTCTTGTCTAGAAGAAACTTAAAAAAACAAAAGTTCTACAAAGTCCAACAGAAGTTACACTGTTCCAAGCAACAAAACACACATAGCAACTCCAACAAAACCCAGACCATATTAATGGACTGTGAATCTGTGACTACGTGATTCTCCAAAGTCATCAAGCAAAGCATACTTCAGAACTGAAACCAAATTTCGAATGTAACAATTTTACCTCAAAAAAGATTTGTATCATCTTGCAACTGGTTTTTGAAGCAGAGCAGTCAAGAAAACTTCACCATGTTTCACTCCACTAGAGTCCATTTTATTCGCCACCGCCCATTTCACCTTCTTGTAACCCAATTTCCCGATCATCGGCGCATAAACATTCTCAAGATCGACTTTCTTGCTAAAGAACCGATCCAACCAGAGATAACCACCGCCACGTAGTATCCGATCCAAATCGAAGAAGAAAAACTCCATAACCGTAACCGGAATCCACCGGTTCACCGCACGTCCACACCGGACCAAATCCACCACACCGTCAAAAACCGGAAGCCGCTGCTGGAGAGGCACGTGAAGCGGCACGAGCCCTCTCAACGCCACCGCCTCACTGTACGGCGCGTTAAAATTCATCGTGGTGGTCAAAACGGTGACGTTTCGAGCCTTCATAGCTGCGGCGAAAGATCCGGTCCCACCACCGACGTCGACGGCGAGCCTGAGTACCGAATTCGCGGATTTGGCGATCTGGAGAAGCTGCGAGATCGGGAGATCGAGCTCCGATTTGTAGGAAGAGAACTGAGATTTGGATTTCTCGAGGGAGAGATCGAAGCCTAGATCGGGGAATTTAGCGGCCAAGCAATCGAAATTCTTGCAGGAGTAGTAAGACCAGATTACATTGGACTCAGGCTTGGAGTCCGTCGGGTTTCGCGGCGTACGGGAGAAGCAACGACGGCGAGGGAGTGGGTGGCAGCCACGGAGGATGAGTTTCTCGACGAGATCGGTGTCGGAAGGGCAGAGAGAGAAAGGAGTGTAGTTCATGTACTCGTGGAGAAGGTCGGGGTGGTTGTGGCAAGCGGAAGCTATGGGGGAGAGCTTGGAGTAGAGGAGGAGATCTTTTGGAGCGGAGGAGGAGACGGCGGCGCGTGAGGTAAGAGTGGAAGCGATTGAAGTGGATTTGTCTGGCTGGTGGTTTGTGAGGTGGTTGATGGCGGCGCGGATAGTGTGGAGTTGACGGAGGAGGTGGTCGGGGACGGTGGGAACAGAGGACGGTGAGGATTTGACGGTGGATTGGAAGAAACTTGTGGTGGAGGAGAGATGGTAGAGAGAGAGGATGTTTGTAGCTACCATCGCTACTAGTAGCAGTAGATTCAAGCTCATAGTGAATCCCGCCATTTCTGTAGCTTCAATGCCTCGGATCCAAGTTCTTGAATCTCGCAGCTTCTCTGTTTCGTCACAGAGTGAGATTCTTTGTTTCTTTTTTAAGAACCTGATTCTTGGGCTTTATTTAACGGGTGTGTGTAAAAGCCAAGATTTCTGGGTTTAATTTCAGGTTAGATTTCTTGGAGGTAGTGACACTTAGAGAACTGTAAGATAAGCTTTTCATCTAACCCACAAGTCAAAATCTTGTAGTAGATACAAACAGAGATCTGAGCGAGTTTGCAATGGAAAAGTCATTTATTCGAATCCAATGTCATTAATTAGTTTTCCCAATTTTTGCATGAAACAGTAACAATCCTGGTGAAAAGTTGTTGGCAACAGTGATTAAAATCCTGTCTTTCTTGGTTCCAAGGCACGTAAAATTTAACACATCTGTTTGTTTTGTTCACATGCCTTGTCTTTTTTCTTTTATTTGTTCCCTTCTCAGACTAGTTATGTCTTTTATTGCAATGAAACGGCATATATGTATTTGTGTAAACTAATACATTGATTAGGCAAATTTTAACTCAATCGTACCTCAACAATTTTACGGAATAATTAGATGAAAATCAGTATAATTCGGTATGTTTCTGTATACAGTATGTCGATTAGGAAAAGTTTGAAGAAAAAAAAAAAACTGAAAAATTGATCGGTTTGGTGACTGCCACCAAACCAAACCAAAAACCGAGAAATATTTATATTGTTGCCGATCGGTTCACACTTCACAGCCCAGTGAGCCCATAATCGAATCTGAACCAAAAACCGAAATCCTCGGTTTGGTTCGGTATAGTTTAGTAGGCCGAGTCGATGAGGTCGTTGAGAGAGATCTTGCTTGACAGTCTCCCCCTTTTCTCGTGTTATATTAGTGAGAGGACAAAAAAAAAAAAGACAACTTTCCAAAAATACCGAAGAAAAAAGCTCTCTGTTTCTGTTTTGGTGTGTCAATGTCGGAATCTAGCTCAAGCTTCTCGTCTCTCACTCTCCTACTCATAATCTTCCTCCTCCTTCTACTATCTCCATCGCTTTCGTCTTCCGAGTCTAAGGTTCATGTTCTGGATCGCGAGCTATTAGAGATCCGGCAAAATTCGAAGCCGGACAAGACTAATAGAAAACCCAAGTGCTGCGAGATGCGGACCAGATCTCAGTGTTCCGCTTACCCTAGATGCAGGTGGTGTCGTAGTGACGCTCTCGACGACTTGTGCTTCAGTAAAACCGAAGCATTGCGACTTCCAAGTCAAGTCTTCCTCTGTGAGTTATAAATCAACACATTTGATCTAAGTAGATCGTAGTTCTTGCGGAGTTTTGTTGGATATATATATAGAGAGAGAGAGCTGTTTTCTTTCCAAATTTGGACTTTTGTTTGTATCGCTTGTTCTTGTAACGCTATTAATATTGTTTTAATTGTTATCACAAGTTTTGAATTGTACTGGATCTTGTTTCAAATATATATTTTGGAAGGTGCTTCTTTTACTGTTCTGTCTTAATTTTGAGCTAATCACTTTTGCTATCAAACTCGGATATATTTTACGATCGCACTGTATGCTTTTTTACTTGGAATTGTTAGGGAAATGAACAAAAGCGTTGTTCTTTCCTTTCAATTGTGGAAAGAGCTGAATATATCAAGTAATGTACTTCTCTCATCTCTCTGAGAGTAGAAGACTCAGGGCTTGATCGTTTCCAAAACTAAAATAATACTCAAAAGTTTAAACGACAGGAAGAACAGCAAAGAAACAGTTAAGCTCTCAGTGGATTAAATAGGATTTGTGTCTGATATGCAGCCTTTTAGTATTAAAGTGGTTCACTAATTGGATACTTGGTATATATATATATGTCTCTTCTTTCCCTGTGACATGTTTGTGTTAGCAAGATTATGGCTTGTTTGTTCTAAGGGCATTTAAATTGTGTGTTTGGAATTGTTCTTTGCGTCAATGTCGGTTTTGGAAGTTAGGAGCAGCTAAGTACATAGTGAGCAAAGATCTAGTTAATGGCTGGAGAATGCTTGAACTCAGGAACAGAAACTGTGTTATTTACAATAGTAGCTCTTTCTCTCTAACTGTTTCAAATCGGGACAATATCATAAGGCAGTTGGGAAGTTTCTTACTAAAACTAGACCCTTTTTTATTCCACAAACATCTGCTTGTACAAGAGTTTTTTTTTTTTTTGTCTTCTTTTTGTTTTTGGTTTTCAGGAAAAGCTCCTCACATATGTAGGTGCAAGTGCAACACTGAAGAAGGAAGCATCCCTTTCAACGCAAAAAAAAACCTATTACCTATAACAAATAAACCCAAAGCCACGCTCAAGAAAAGTAAAAACATAGCCGGAAATAAAGATATATGCACATTATATCAGCTGGTTTCCCAACAAATCCTGGACTGCATCCCTCATATCCTCATAAACGTCACAGATTTCGAGGAATTCCACGAGTTTCAGGAGTTCTTGATCTTTCAGGTCATCCACAAAAGCCTTTATAGGCACTCCATTCTCTGGCTGTAATGAGTAAGAAGATGGATTGTCATCAACAATCAAAGCATTTCCGAGGTCTTTCCCCACTACCAAAGATAAGTCCTTTACATATTTCCCATTCACTTCCGTGCATGAGTCTCGATATAGCCTCTGTGAGATCACACCGTTCTTGTCTAGCTTGTCCAAAACCTGTGAAGCATAATCTTCCAGACCAGCTGTGAAGACTGCCACTTTGTAGCTTTCACCAAGTCTTTCCAAGAATTCAGTCACACCGGGACGTTTCACCACAAAGATTGGCATAATCTCCGTTTCCATTTTCACCATCACCATGAAATCATATCTAACTCCTGGCACTTGCGTCGTCGAGTGAACCAACGTTTCATCAAGATCGAGGATGATTGTCCTTTTCGTGTTCGTATTTTCTGTCTGAGGGTCGTCATGTCTCTCAAGTTTTGTATAGTCATTTCTTGTGGCTGGATAGCTGATGGTCGTGGCCTTGAAGCACCTGGAAACACAACGCAGAAGGCGACAATGGAATGTCAAGATGGACATGAATGGGTAATTTCTCTTTTGGTGTTTGTGGAACTTGGGATTTTCTTGAGTTTTTTCGATGATTCTCTCAGATGCCATTGATTTCTCACGGATGCTTGATCCCTCAATGAAGACAACAAGTTTTGTCGAACAAAACAAGCTTGCAAGGCTTGGTAGTGGTAAGATGTTTCTGAATTTATCTTTCTGCTAACTTTTATACAATCATGATCTAGAATCGAAGTGAGGACATTTGGTTTAGTTTTGTTTGTTTATGAGAATTTTAGAGGTGAAGTAGAGCAGATGCCTAGTTTTAGAAATTTTCAGTTTGGACAACTAGAGCATAGTTTTGCTGTTTCACATACTCATGGATAACAATGTACATACATTATGAACCAACAAGAGATACATTATTAGTTTAGTTAAGATTTAGTGGTTTGGAAATTATAATGGGATTATAGTTGAAGTACTTCACAGCTATGGCTCTGGTCTGCCTGGTGAACTAGTTAAACTATAAAACCTGTTGGAATTTGTTTCTAACTTAAATTGTTTAATATATTTTTTTACAATAACAGAACAAAATTGTTTAGAAGGTTTTTTTTTTCAATATGAATCACATTGATATTTTATAAAGTATATAATGGTTTAGATTTCATTTACTGAAACCATTCTTCTTAGTGTCAAGTCCAAACGGACTAAAGCCAAGATTTACATAATTCATATGAAAATATCTTAAAGAGTTTTATAGGTTAGGCATGGACAAACCATAGCTTTTAAGGGTGATTGGCTGTGAAATGTCTCAAACACAGAAAGTGAATAGCCTCTGCGTTGAAGTTTACCGGAGTCATTTTAATGGATCATTGTTCTAGTTTTCTTTTAACTTTACCAGTTAAGGCACTCGTAAGACTACTTTCTTATAGTATTTCGTTTTCTTGTACTTAATATACTGAAGGTAGAGTCTGTAGGGACTTATTCCTTGATATCATATACTGAATCAGATAAATATCTTTAGACTAAGATGTTAATAATATCATTTCTTGTTATTAATAATCTCTTCTATTCCAAAACTTCTTTGTTTTCCCCAATTTTTCTTGGTTATTAATACACTTTCCGGTCACACTTTTGGTAGGTAAAAACGCTGAAAAAGGAAGGAAGCATCCTTTTCCAACACAAAAATACCGTTAGGCTGTCTCATCACTCCCCAAAAGAAAATCAACAAAAAAAAGAAAGAAAGAAAGAATCCCAAAACAAAATTGAAAACAGGTTCTGAAAATAAAAACCATATATAGTTATGTGCATATCAAATCAGTTGTTGGATAGAAACTCTGATGCTGCATCCCTTAAATCTTCGTAATGATAACATTCATCGAAGAATTCTGCAAGCTTCATCAGTTCTTGATCTTCCATGTCATCCACAAAAGGCTTAATGGGAACTCCATTTTCAGGCTGCAACGAGTAGGAGAAAGGGTTATCGTCAACTAGCAAAACACTCCCGAGGTCTGTCCTCGCAACCAAAGATAAGTCTTTGGCATATCTTCCACTCATCTCTGTGCATGAATCTCTATATAGCCTCTGTGAGATCACACGGTTCTTGTCAAGTTTATCCAAAACCTGCGAAGCGTATTCAGCCAAACCGGCTGTGAAAACCGCCACTCGATAGTTCTTACCGATCCTGTCAAGAAACTCGGTAACTCCTGGTCGTTTCACCACAAACATCGGTATAACCATACCTTCGATCTTTATCCTAACCATGAAATCGACATCAACCCTGACTGGTGGTTCCATCGATGAGTGCACCAATGTTTCATCGAGATCAAGAAAGATGGTCCTTTTCTTGTCATTACGTTTTCTCCAGGTAGGCTGATGCTGCTGCTCGTGTTTCTTGAGCTTTTTGTAGCCTTGTTTCATGGTGGCTCGATGGCTAGGAGTAGCGCTAGCTTTGGTGGTGGCTACACGGAAAAACTTGGAGACGCAACGCAAGAGGCGGCTGTGGAATGTGAAGATTGACATGTTGAGGGATGTGAAGATGGAGCCAGCTGCTGCCACGGCTGCAGCCGAACATCTGGATTGATGATGATGATGATGTTCATGGCGGTTTCTCCTTTCATGATTATGACGTCCATGTGATCTCGGGGTTGGTTTCCCGAGAAATCCATGGCACGCCATTATCAAGAAATCAGAGAGTTTTAAAACAGTGAGGAGAATTCTGGGTTTTTTTTTCTTCCTGCAGCTGGCTCAGATGGAAACCTGGAGAAATGGTGAAATGTATATAGAGCTTGAAAGATTCTAACTTCCCCTGCCATTGTGTTTGGAACTGAAAGGCACTTGATTTGGTATAGTTTAGTTTATTCAGGTTGTGATTAATGACTCTGAGTTATTTTTAGCAAAATAACAGTTTTTAGAAATTGACACATATTTGAGTTTGATTGTTTCTCAATGTGTTCTCTCAATGGACAGCAATATATATATGCCAAGACTGAAAGTTAAACGAATATGTAGAGGTACAGAGATTTTCATGGGATTACAGTTGCAGTCAAGTGCTTATTAACTTTGTGTAATATTTAGACTTGGACTAAATTAACCACTATAGTAACAAATTCTGAAACCAACTATTTTAAATAATATAATTTTCACATCTGTTTAAATGAATTTGTGTTCCCTGCTCCTCACTGATACATAATCATAATCAACACAGTAAATGGTTGTGAAGAGAGACTGAAAGTAGCCGTGATAATACTAAGTGGTACTCATTATAGAAAAACAATCTTTATTCTAAACAACATATATATAAGATTTTAGTTATGTAGGCATAAAATTTACAATTAAATCAAAGAACTTTTAGGAGCTAAAATTAACAGGAAGTGAAAAATACCGTTTGAGAGTGTTAAGAAAACATGATGTACAGCAACTATTGATTCATCATCTACTTCCGGTCGGATTTGAAGGCGATCTGTCTCTGCGTCGTGTTCTTGGGATGATCAGAGGTCTGCAACAAACCAAAGCGAAAACCAATTCCGTAATGAACAGACTCATGCTGATCCAGACGAACAAAGTTTTCCTCCATTTCCAAATAACTTTTTTGAAGAAAGGAAGATCCGATTCAAGCGATAAGGACGCGTCGTACAGCTCTGGAATACCTGCTCCTGGTCGAAACTCCGCTCGTTGCTCGATCATTATCTTTAAACAAGCAGTGGGAATGTCCTTTTCAGCAAAGCCTTTCAGCTTCAAACTCAAGGTTTGGATCTCAGAGACATATCCGGTCACTAACGGAACCACTTTGAAGAATGTCTGAACAAGACGGATAGGCTCGCTCCTGAATCTTAACATGCAAGGACGCCTTATACTAGCTTGCGTTTGACCATCCGCAGATAAGAAATCCACCCGAACCTTCAACAAACACATAATTCAATATCAAAATGGATGAGGAAGCATAACTCTATGTAGTGGATTTCCTAATTATTCAAAATGAATACGCACTATAATTTGTGTTCTTCATCTTCTGCATAGCTTTGTGATAACATCGGAGACAATTCTCAAACATGATCATAAAAGCCAGAGTAAATGCAACTTAAAGCCAATACCTGAAACATGCCGAGATTTTTATTGTAGGCAGACTCAGGTAACGTCATCGAAAGAGTGATCTCTAACTTGTGGTCTCGAGGAATAGCTCGCAATGCCCTGATCTTCAACATCTCATTACTTTCTATGCAGCTTCCATCACAAGCAACACCAGCACACGAGGTTATGGGCACATATGCTTCTGGACTATTCTTGGTGTAATCGAAATTCAAAATCTCCTTGACTACGTATGGTTTATCGGCTACACGGTTTATCATAAAACCACCAAGCATAAGCGCCAATATCAGCAAGCCAAACAACACAATGCCTACATAAACAGCCCAGAACAAACCAGATCCAAACTTGCACGCAATATTCAACATTCGTTTGGTGTCTTTTAACCAACTCAGCTTAAACGTTCCCAGAATCATATCACTAATCTCTGCAACTCCTGTCGTTAAAAAGCGTTTGCCAAGCCTAAATGTGCTAAAAGGATCAAAAAAGAAGAGAAAGCACCAATTGAGTAGCCATGGAGGAAACTTGAGAAAGCTAATCATCAAACTGACTTGAAATTCGATTGCTTTGAACACTAGCCCAGCCAAAAACCCAAGGAGAGACCAATCTGTCGAATTTGGTTCTAGGAGCTGCGTTGCTGGTCCCGCGTAGTCGTCTTCTCGATCATCAATCACGGTGGACACCGTTGATTCTTCGGTTTTCTCTCCGCTCGAGCTATTCCCTTCCTGAAACGGGTCAACCCGGTCCCGACCCGAATCAGTTACATCCATGTCTACAATCACAACCATGTCGTTTTCTTTTTCTGCGGATACTTCAATTAGGCCATCGCTTGATTCAATTACGTCGCTTTCTTTCTCGATTACTTCGAAATCCTCCTTAAGCCCGTCGCTTTTTTCCACATAGCTCGATTTCTCACCGATTTCAAATCCATTGGAGGAGGAAGAAGACGGCTCCGTTCCTACATCGGAAGATATCGGATTCCGGCGAGTTGCTGACCTTCTGCGCCGGAGACTCGCGGCGGAGGTATTACCCGAGAGAGACGAATGCTGACGGATCTGCGGCAAGCAATCGTAATAAAATTCGTCTGGTGCGTCGAGGAATGGACGGACTTCCTCGTCCTCGTCGGGGATGCTAGGGTTTGATGAGGAGTCCATTTGATCATAACCCAGAAGAAGAAGAAGAAGAAGAGATTGCGGAAGTCGTGCCGTCGTGGGTTTCAAAGCATCGGTGACGAGAAGCGTGATAGCTGATAAATGGCGTGACCGACCAATATCTCTATTTAGTTATTTATTTATCGGCGGGATCGTATTACGTCATATATATGTATACTCTTGCAGTCGATAACCGGATCGGGCCATTAAACCGGACTATTTGATAACCGGAGTTAAATTGTTAATCAAACCTTTGGACAACCCGCTATGTAACTACAGTTTCGGTGCAGATTCGGACACGAACTACTATATGATTTGGTCAGATCCTACCCGATTTTTTGTTGTCAAAGCAAATGTTGGGAATTTTTCTACAAAATATTGGAAATAGAGAACCAAACCCTCTGAGTAGAGAAGGTGAAGACGCCATGTTCAGATCGATCTGAAGAGTCCGATTATTGTGTCATGTCATGTTATCAATTTAAAATAGAGTTTAAAATACTTTAAAAGCCATTTAGCAAACAACAAAAAATAACATCAATTCTAGTTTTCTTTTAGTTCAATTAGTTGAAAATCAAATATAAACAGAATATGTCGTATATTGTTTTGTATTGTTTATATTGACAATGTGTTATCTGGATTTCATCTCTGCACATTATTAAAAAAAAAAATGAAAACAACATGTAAGTAACTGTTTAAAAGTGAGCATCGGGTAATGTTCTCAGAACCATCGGGACCAGCCGGTTCAACCGGTGAACCTGAGACTTCACCACTAATTCGATAATTGTAGTAACGAAAAAGCGTGCCGTTAACCCACAACAACAAGGAATAGTTGAACCTCCCGGGTGACTTTCAAGTTTCAACACATTGACAAAATATGATTTGAACATTTATTTTAGAAACCTTTTTACAGTATCGAGAAAATTTGATTTTAGCACTTTCGTAGTAAGATATACTCTTATTTTACTTTTACTTATATCTTTCTCATAGTTTTGTTACTACTTTGTGTGTACTTGCAATGATTGAATTTCTTTTACTTATTGACTGACTACTGAACAATTTTTTTTTGTTTATCTAGTAGATTTTATTAAATTTAAAGTCACATATTATACAATTTTTTTACATAAATCAAAAATAGTATTTTATCTGGCTAAAAAGAGGAAGGGTTGATTTCTCTAAACAGATAAAATACTATTTTTGATTCATGTGCAAGTGGATGAATTTTTTCACCTGTTGTGGGGTCAGTGCTTTTTTCTCTGTGGGTCTTTTTCTCTCTGTAATTTCAAAATTTGACCAATAATCGACGGTTGTAAGAAAAAAATTGACTTGTAGTTAATAAAAGAAAAAGAAAAACCGGAAAAACGAAGGGAGGAAAAACACTGTTCGTATTCTATGTAGATTAGTCATAATTCGACCAAAAAGCACTAATCAATCATCATCAATCATCACTCTTTGCCAAACCAACCCAGAAACTTCAGATCTTTCCATACGATTTATCATTCTCGACGAGACCTCGATATACGTCTCTCATCTGCCTTTTCACCAGAGATTTTATTGTTGTTGTTACATCTCTGAATCAAATGTTTGCCGAGAAGAAGAAGAAGAAGAAGGATGTTCATGTCTTTGCATTTTCTGTTTTTGCGATTATTTGCTTCAAATTTCACAGTATAAATGCTATCAATTTACCGCAAGATGAAGGTGGGTTCCAAGTTAGTTCCTTTCTTTTTTTTTTTTTTTTATTGAACTTTCTATTCATTGTCACCCTTTCCTTTTTGGATTCTGGCTTTGCAGATTTTTAATTTTTTTTTTTGGCAGAATTTGTGCCCTTTTGTTATTCATTAAGTTTCCTTATATGAGAAAGTTTTTGGATTTTCATTATTGTGCAACAATCCGTAGGAAATGGAACTTTTTTTATTGGATACCGGAATTCCCTTTTTGTGGGGACGTTGGGTTTTTTTTTTTGGTTCCAAAATCTGCAGGCGTTGATTTGGTGATTAGGTCAATTTGCGTTTATTTAAATCATCTTTTTGATTGATTTTTGTTTGCATTCTCTTGACCGTTGAGTTTCCTTGAGAAAGGACTTGTCATATCTCAGTCTTAATGAAGTCTTCCATACGATGATGACAATCTTGAGTCAAGTAAAAAAGACAGTTTCTTTAAAGATCCTTATAAATTGTTGAAGCAATCATATAGCTTTGGTGTGATATACATTGTTCATCTTGCTTTCAATTCATGTCACGTTCATGATGAATGGTCTCTACTGGTTGTATATAGGCCAAGCGTATATAATCTTTGTCTTTACTCAAGTAATGTCACTGATGTAGTATGCTGTTTGCTTTCTGTGCCTGCTCCATAGTCGATGCTCTGCAGCAAATCGCTACCACATTGGGCTCGAGGTACTGGATATTTGATCCTAAAGCTTGTAAGGTCGAAAAGGTGGGGCTTACAGAAACTCCTTCTCCGACAGCTAAGCAAGAAGTTGAGTGTGAATGCAGTCCCAAGGACGAAAATGATTGTCATGTTGTGAAAATGTAAAGAATCCTCTAGCACTCTTCATAACTTTCTCAATTATCCTTGATTGTCTTTTCCACTTGTAGGCATTATGGTTCTATTCGTGTTTGGTCGTTGCACTGTTGATCAGTGAATAGATGCTAGAGTCAATCGTCGAGTTTATTTTTGGTGCATCTTCTTCGTCTTAGTGTCCCATATGCACAATGCCTAAAATTTGTGGTGATCTAAATAGCAAAGAAGAAGATTGGTTTATCTAATCACTTTGAAACTATGAAGTTTGAATACATGAAATCCTTATGAGATATATATCTGTTGTCTTTGACTTGTTCTTTAGTGCATTTAAGGATCATAATCTTCCAGGAACTCTTCCTCCTCAAATAATTAAGCTTCGCTACCTCCGTGAGATGTAAGTTCTCTAATAAAGTATCTCAAACTTGCTTTAGACTAAAAGAAGGCAATTTTTTACCAATTCTGAGCAGGTAAAAACTGCTAATTTTGACCACCGTTTCTTGCTATATTTTAGTGACTTGGCCTACAACTACCTCAATGGAAGCATACCTCTTGAATGGGCTTCAACAAATTTAACTTTTATGTAAGAATATTCCCTGTTATGTTTTCGTTTTAGTGTCTAAATGCTCTTGTAACAGTAACGGAATGTCTCCACAGCTCTCTTCTTGTGAATCGGTTGTCAGGGGAAATTCCAAAAGAGTTGGCAAACATTACTTCACTAACATACTTGTAAGTTTCGAACATCGGTCAACTCCTCTTTGTTCTGTAAATTGGTTTGTTGTTTATGTAAGATGAAAAGCTCAGGTATGAATTATCCTTTTAAGTTTAGTTAAAATATTACACCTTTGACCTCTTGAAACTTGCACACTATTAGCCTTTCCTGAACAGGAACCAGTTAAAGTTGTAGCATTCTCTATGGCAGTTCTGTTATATTATTGCTGTTCTTGTATAGGGATCTCGAGTCAAATGCGTTTTCTGGAACCATTCCTCAGGAGCTTGGGAACTTAGTAAACTTGCAAACACTGTGAGAGTTTCTAATTCCTTTTCCGTTTCTTTGTTTCTTTTATTGTGACCATGTTTTGAGCACACGGTGTGTTTCTGAAGAATGAGATTTTTCTGTGGGGGATCATTTCTTACAGGTTGCTTTCCTCCAACAAGTTGACGGGAAACTTGCCAGCTTCATTATCTAAACTACAGGATATGACAGACTTGTAAAACTTTTGTTCTGTTTTCTCGTAACTTAACTACTTAGTATGTTGGTCTCGTTTGCTCATCTGCTGCTTGGTTTTACACAAATGCAGCAGAATCAACGATCTACAGCTCAGTGGAACGATACCTAGTTACATACAAAATTGGACGGATCTCAAGAGACTGTAAAATCCTTCTCTTTAAACTCTTTCTTTGTTTATCTATTTAGTACTCAGTGATGGAGTTCTGTCTATTGCTTGTAGCGAAATGATTGCATCTGGTCTCACTGGTCCAATCCCATCGGCCATTTCGGTTCTGAACAATCTTTCTAATCTGTGAGAAGACATAACTCTTTTGACGTCATTTTTTTTTTATCTCCATAAACTTAGTTTTTTTTCTTCTATAGTACGCTTACATTACAATGACCAATCGTTTTCAGGAGGATCAGTGACATAGGCGGACCAGTCCAACCATTTCCTTCGTTGAAGAACTCTACAGGTTTTTCTAAGATGTAAGTTATATCTGTTATCTGCCTTCTTGAAGCTGTTCCCATCCATCTCCTATTCTATTTAATATTTTTGTTGATTTTACGTTGTAGAATACTGAAGAATTGTAACCTTTCTGGAAAAATTCCTACCTATCTTTCAGATTTGCAGAATCTGGAGACACTGTAAGCATGTCTTTTCCGACAATTTTTTTATCAATTCTCATTCTCATTGGTTCCCAACGAGCTCTGTTTCACATTAATCAATGACGGAGATTGATTCATTCTTATAACGTTTGTGGATAGGGATTTGAGTTTTAACAAGTTGGTTGGTGGAATTCCGACGTTTGCACAGGCAGAAAAGTTACGGTTTATGTAAGTGAGAAGATTCTACTGTCACAGAGATCTTAAATGTTCTGTCTTACTTTGACTTAGAATTGTTAGCTGGCTTTTTTTTTTTTGCAGAATTTTGGCCGGAAATATGCTCGAGGAAGAACCTCCAGATGAATTACTAAGGGATGGAATCACTTTGTATGTATATATCTGGATTTTTCAAATTGCATTTAACATTGCTTTCTCAGAAGAATATGAATACAGGTTTTGTGTCTCATTACATATCCATTTTTTATGTCAATTCACTTGTTGCTGCAGAGATCTTTCTTATAATAACCTCAAGTGGCAGAGTCCTGAAAGTCGTTCTTGTCGGCCAAACATGTGAGGATATTGTCATGTTTTCTTCTTTGACGTTTTTTGTTGACATAATTGGCATTTTAACGTATGTTATGATTTATTCGTATTTTCTTGTTATAGGAATCTGAATCTAAACTTGTTTCAGAGCACTTCGACAAAAAAATCGTAAGGTCCTTTCTTTTGGTCATCTTTAGCATCTAGATTCCGTGCTTGTAGCTTAAAATGTTTGTACTTTTCAAAAACAAATTCCACAGTTTGATACAGATATACAATTCCCAATTGATGTTTTTGTAGGAGCAAGTTTCTTCCGTGCATCAATGATTTCAAATGTCCTCGATGTAAGTACACTTACCTACTCAACTGTGTCGCCAAATCACATAGGACTAGTGATGGTAGATCGTTTCACAATATTCTCACGTCAATATTGCTATTTCCTGTCTTGTTATCATTGTTGATGCATAAAGTTCACTCGTTTATTCACTCTCATTTATACAATATGGTTTATCTGGCAGATTCTAGCTGCCTCCATGTGAACTGTGGTGGAAGTGATCTAACAGTAAAGGAAAAGAAAAGCAAAATCTTATATGAAGGAGATGGAGAGGCTGAAGGTGGTGCTGCTAAGTATTTTTTGAAGCCTAATAATGCTTATTGGGGATTCAGCAGCACAGGGGACTACATGGACGACAACAATTTCCAAAACACAAGATTCTCCGTGTTTGTCCCCTCATCTAACCTGTCTGAACTATACAAAACAGCAAGAATGGCTCCAGTATCTCTCACTTACTTCCATGCCTGCTTGGAAAACGGAAAATACACTGTAAATCTAGACTTTGCTGAGTTGCGGTTCACAAATGATGAAACCTATAGCCGGCTTGGGAGGCGTGTCTTCGACATTTACATTCAGGTTAGCTTTTGCTTAAAAGCTGCTTTGGATGCAATTAGCTTATTTTTTGGTCTTCTCTTTTTTTAAGCCCTCTTTTCTGCAGGAGAAATTAGTGGCCAAGGACTTCAATATCATGGATGAAGCAAAGGGTGCTCAAAAACCTATAACCAAATCATTTATGGTCAATGTGACAAACCACTTTTTAGCCATCCGGTTGGGTTGGGCCGGTAAAGGAACTACCAGGATTCCCAATAGAGGGGTTTACGGTCCTCTCATATCGGCTATTTCCATACTTTCAGGTAGCTTTCTTATTATAAAAGAAAGGATGTGTGCATCTGATTTTGTATGCATTTTGAACTCTTTTCTCACCACAGTAGTTTCTCTTAATACTAATACTTTCAATGTACAGATTCTAAGCCGTGCACACCCCCTGCAAGTGGATTGAGCTTGGGAGCATATATTGCAATTGGAGTTGGAGCCCCATTTCTTATTATCTCTATACTGGGACTTCTGTGGTTTTGTGGCTGCCTTCCAAGATGTTGGCAGCGGCGAAAAGGTGATCTTTACTTTAATTTTTCATTCTCTTTTTGCATTTGATTATATATACCACACTGCTTCTCTTGAAGTCTGAGTCCAAGATGCTAGTAGCTAACTTGCAGGTTATGTTCATCCGAAAGATGGACACATTGTACATTTAAGCAAGTAAGAACATGAAGAAAGTGTTTCTTGGTTTACTGATTCTGAGTTTTTTTTCCCACAGATCCATATGAGGAAGAGTTGCCATCTGGAACTTTTACGTTAAGGCAAATCAAGTTTGCCACGGATGACTTCAATCCGAACAACAAGATCGGAGAAGGTGGTTTTGGTCCTGTATTTAAGGTAAAGGTCACGGGTGAGATGAATCTTGGGTTATATGAAGATGACTCTTGTTCTTGCTGATATAAATTCTCATTTGCAGGGTGTGTTATCAGATGGAAGAGTTGTAGCAGTTAAGCAGCTCTCATCTAAATCGAGACAAGGGAACCGAGAATTTCTAAACGAGATTGGTGCAATTTCTTGTCTTCAACATCAAAACCTCGTCAAGCTTCATGGCTTCTGCGTTGAGCGGGCTCAGCTGTTGCTGGTGTATGAATACATGGAAAATAACAGCTTAGCACAAGCGCTATTCAGTGAGTTTTATTTATTTATTTGTGTTTGAACATATGGCTAATGAAAGCTTTTTGATGAATGTGATGGCTTTTGCAATTTATAGGTCCAAAGCATAAACAGATTCCAATGGACTGGCCTACTAGGTTCAAGATTTGCTGTGGAATTGCAAAGGGTCTTGCGTTTCTCCATGAGGAATCACCGTTGAAGTTTGTACACAGAGACATCAAGGCCACAAATATTTTGTTGGACAAGGATTTAAATCCTAAGATATCTGATTTCGGCTTGGCTAGGCTAGATGAAGCGGAGAATACACACATCAGCACTAAAGTCGCTGGGACAATGTGAGCCCCGAGCCCGTCTTATCTTTTCTTTACCATTAATCGTTTTCTTTACAAGTTACTGTTTGTTTGTTAAACGGAAAGAAACATGTGAACCTCTGCAGAGGATATATGGCACCTGAATACGCACTGTGGGGTTACCTAACTTTCAAAGCAGATGTCTACAGCTTTGGTGTTTTGGTTCTAGAGATCGTCGCTGGCATCACCAACAGTAATTTCATGGCGGCAGGAGATTCTGTCTGCCTCTTGGAATTTGTAATATGATCTGATCCCAAGTTTCAGTTGCTTATGAACTTACAAAACCGAAAAGCGATTTTCTTGATAAACCCTTTGTTGCTGTATATATATCTGCAGGCTTCTCAGTGTGAAGAATCAGGGCACTTGTTGCAAGTTGTTGATGAGAGATTGAGGCCAGAAGTGAACAAAGAAGAAGCAGAAGCGGTTATAAAAGTGGCTCTTGTGTGCACAAGCGCTTCTCCAACAGATCGACCTATAATGTCAGAGGTCGTTGCTATGCTTGAAGGTCTGTATCCAGTGCCGGAACCAACCCCAGGATCAAGCAGGAAGTCAGGGGATATAAGGTTTAAGGCGTTTAAAGATTTAAGGATGGGCATGGAGAACAACAGTAAGACACAGTATTCTGTTAACAGTTATCCTCCTCCTTCTTCTTCTACTCATGAAGTTGGACAAGAAAGAAAGAAAGAATAGTCAAGGACTTGAAGAGATTTCTAATTCTTTTCCTCTCTAGTCTTGTAAACTTATCTGACTATTAATCTTGTAAATTTTTTTTTGATTTTATTACACGATTAGTCATTTACAGTAGTATGTAATCTTTTTTGTATCTATGTTAAAGCTTTGGTTAGTTGGGGACTGAGTGTTGCAGAAAATCAAACTCAAAAGATATGAAGCCTTTTCTACATCAAGAGAAATGAGTAACGTTATTTGTTTTTTTAACATAAAAGGAAAGATAGGCAGTGAGATATTTAATTTTAAAACCATTCAGTTTGCTATTATTAAAACCATAATATTATTTGATAGGCTGGATATGTGAAATGACCTGTACGTATAAGCAATGAAATTTCGTCTTCATACATTTTTAAGGATTAGCTTCCTCTATGGAACTATTGTCTATAATACTCTACTTAGAAGGATTAGTTGACTTACCAAGAAAAGGACCAAATTGACTTGAGTCCGTATAGTACTTTAGTACCTGTTGCATGAAAACCATAAAATACTTGTAAGAGAGAATCAACTCTAAACTAATATGGAGTGAAGTAATTTTTATTCCAACTAGTTCTTGGATCCAAGCAAAAGTACAAGTCAACCACCAAGAAGGCTGATTAACAATTGAACATATTAAACAAGTAGTTCAAGTGTTAACATAAGAAATTACATGTAAAATTCAATTCAAGAGTATTCATCACACAACTGATCAACTCCTCCAGTTTTCATGTGTTGACAATTAGGACTCAAGAACTAAAAATTAGAGTTTTTTTTAATCCAAGGTTTTGCTGAAGTGGTGAAAATGATGCTTTTAAGAATCATGAAATCTCACTAGTGCTAGACATGTTCTCCTAGTAGTTCTAAAAGTAAAATACTAAAATGAAAACGAAAAGGGTGAATAAACCTCATTCTAATAGTTCTGCGCATATTGTACATAAATCAAAACAGAGAGACTGGGATTGTAATTTAACAAAAGTGAGACATCTCCCGGCTTTAACAAGCAACAGACCCCATGTGTGGACTCTTCTAATCTCAGCTTAGTCAAACTGCATTTCACAAGACAGTTCACATATTCTTCACAATTTTTTTATTATATATATTCGTATTAAAGAAGAGTTTTAGTTATTTTCTTTAGCAAGTAGTACTATATATGTAGTCTTTTCAAGTGATCTATAGATAAACATAAATTTCCATATCTGCATCCTACAATCCCATGATCATGTTGAGAAGCCGCCTTTTTAGCTCTGTAATCTTTGTTCTCACTCTTATTTACTTGGTCTGTACAGTATCTGCCTCTCCTTCTCTTCATCCAGATGAAGGTTTTAGTGGCTTTAAACGCATTTATGTATATGAATTTACCCAAACATAATGTTTTGTCTTTGTGAATTTGAACTAAACTTTTCTTTTATTTTTCTTTGGCAGTGGAAGCGCTTAAGGATATTGCATCAACACTAGGTGTCAAGTACTTGAACCTAAGTGAAGATCCATGTCTCACAAAGACTCTGGTGATAACTCAAGATGTTCTCAAGGAAGGACAGAATAGCACTATCAGATGTGACTGTCATTTCAACAACAACAACACTTGTCATATTACACACTTGTAAGACACTACCTCTCTGTTTCTGTTTATTTACTCTGTCTATATATCTAATGTTGTTTCATGTGCAGTATCATTAAAACATTCAGTCTTCCGGGTAAACTTCCACCAGAATTTTCTAGGCTTCGGTATCTTGAACTGATGTGAGGAGCGTTCTAAATTGTGTTGCAGTTTCATCTGTTTTCAATGTTGTTTTTGATCAAACATAACAGTTTGATCACTGGAAATGTTTTGCTTTGTTGTGCGTAGTGACTTGTGCCGTAATTACCTTTATGGCTCAATTCCTATGGAATGGGCCTCACTACCTTTCCTGAAATCTATGTAAGTCTTTGATCTCAAGTTTCTTGTTTGTTAAGGCATTAGTAAAATGCTTCTGAATTCACCTGAATATGTTTCTTGTAGCTCTGTTTGCGCAAACCGCTTATCAGGAGACATTCCCAAAGGATTAGGGAAGTTTATTAACCTCACTCTCTTGTATGTTTTTACCTTCTTCTTTTTTATTGTTCAAATTATGTGATTTGTGAATAAAGTTTTATCCTTTTGTAATCCGAAACTAAGTTTTTGTTTATTTGTTTGATTGATTACACAGAGTTCTTGAAGCCAATCAATTCTCTGGAACTATACCTAAGAAACTGGGGAAACTTGTTAACTTAGATGGATTGTAAGCAATCATCTGTCAATCAAACTTCAAATTACTTTTCCAAGATTATAAATTAGGTGGTTCTGTCAAACATAGTAATTAATCCTGCTTTTGCTTTGCTTATTCTTACAGAACACTCTCTTCAAACCAATTAGTTGGAGGCGTACCCAAGACACTAGCAAGACTAAAAAATCTGACAAATCTGTAATATCAGTTTTCTTTTCATTACAAGAAGTCCTGTTTCTAAATCTGCTCAACATAATTATTATGTATGACACAATTTTTTTCTATTGTTTGCAGCCGTTTCAGCGATAATCGCCTTAACGGATCAATTCCAGAGTTCATCGGGAACTTATCAAAACTTGAAAGATTGTAAGCCAATAAATTCTGCATTACAGTTCTAATAATTTGAAGCATTACAATCATTTTCAATGTTTTTCTAACTTGTGCCTATCTTTAATCAGAGAACTATACGCGAGTGGCCTAACCGAGCCTATTCCAGAATCCATATTTCGTCTAGAGAATTTGGTCGACCTGTAAGTAATTCTCTCCCAATACATCCAAGAAAGAGTATTATATTAGAGAACCATGTGCTCTTCTTGAGTCTAATCTGTATCACCTAATTTCTTTCTGTGTAGGAGGATCAGTGACACAACTGCTGGACTGGGACAATTTCCTTTAATAACTAGCAAGAAACTGAAATTTCTGTATGCAGTGTTGTCTTACATATATTAATATCTCTGGTCCAGACAAGATCCTGTGTTGTAATACATATGTTTAAGACTCAAGATTGGTTATGTTAATTTCTCAGGGTTCTCAGAAACATGAACTTAACAGGAACAATCCCAACCAGTATCTGGAATCTTCCCAATCTCATGACTCTGTAAGTTTCATGTATTATATAACCCTGCATTTTTCGAAACACCATCTAATCTCTTGACCATGATGCTCTTCTTTTTTTTCTTTCCGGGCAGTGATGTTTCTTTTAATAGACTGACTGGAGAAATACCAGCTGATGCAAGAGCGCCAAAATATACGTATGCCCCATAGTGTTAAATGATTATAGTATGAAGTATATTCTTTTGGAACTCATCGCCTAGTTTCAATGTTGTTTCAGATATTTGGCTGGAAATATGTTGTCAGGAAAAGTTGACTCAGGACCTTTCATTACTGCAAGCACCAATATGTATATAACCTCTCGTTTTACTCATCTATGTCAAAACATATCAACGCTATTACGCTAATAAATGGATATACATATCTGCAGTGATCTTTCTTATAATAACTTCACATGGTCTCCAAGCTGCAGAGAGAGGAAGTATGTTCTTCTATCGTTATACTAAGTACTCTCTTTTAAAAAGTTTCTGAAAGCTTAAAGAATATAATGTTTTCATGCAGGAATGTAAACACATATGAGAGCTCGCGTTCAAGAAACAGTCTGTAAGAACATTTTTGACCAATCTTATCAGTCACAGTTCACTTTGCATACATGTTATTAACTCATTGTTCTTGATACAGAACAAGAATTCTTCCATGTTCAGCCATAAAACAATGTCAAAATTGTAAGTTTTTGTTTTTTCCTGGTTGTCTATTGTTTTGCTTCCATCTTCAAAGTTTTTGATTTTGAAACAAATTCACTTTCTGAAGATAGTAGGTCGCTTCATATAAACTGTGGAGGACCTGATGTAATTATCGAAAACACTCGAGGAAGGTTTCTATATGAGGGTGACAACAATGGACTAACCGGGTCGGCTACAAACTATCATGGGAAAAGCTGGGGATTCAGCAATACTGGTGACTTTATGGATGATGCAATTACAGAAGATACATACTCAATTTCATCAGAATCTCTAGTATCAGCAAAATATCCTGAGCTTTACCAGACAGCTCGGCGTTCTCCCCTGAGTTTGGCTTACTTTGCCTTTTGTTTTGAAAACGGAAGTTACAATGCGAAACTCCATTTTGCGGAGATTCAGTTCTCAGATGAGGAACCATACGCTAAACTAGCTAAACGGATTTTTAACATTTACGTTCAGGTACATATAGCCTTTAGCTATAGATTCCTCATGAACCCTTTTTCAGCGTCTTTAGCCACTTCTTGACTTTGATATCTGTTCAGGGGAAGTTGATTTGGAGGGATTTCAGCATCAGAGATGAGGCTAATGGAACTCACAAGGAAGTTATAAAAGAAGTGAACGTGACTGTTACTGATAACACTCTAGAGATAAGGTTATACTGGGCGGGGAAAGGCACAACGATCATTCCTAAAAGAGGGAACTATGGCTCTCTTATCTCTGCCATCTCAGTCTGTCCCAGTAAGTACTGTAAATGAAAACATCAAGAAGATTCTGTTAAAAACTTCCTTCCTAATTAGCTTGTTGTTCTTGTTGTATCAGGTTCGGAATCTGAATGTGGCGGTAAGAGGAAGAATTGCCGTGTCTTTAAATCCTGTTCTCATTCACTTTTTATATCTGAATAATGAATTCAATTTTTTTTCCTCTGTTTTTGCTTTTGTCAATCTTTAGTTCCGGTGCAAATACTTCCAGTCACAAAAGAACAAAAACCAAGAACATATCCTCTCGTTCTTGGCATAACAGTTTTGATAATCTCTCTTGCTTTCTTGATTTTGGGAACGTTTTATTGGAAGAAATGTGTCAGCAATGCGGATGCAGGCAAAAGAGGTAATATCGGTTAAAGTTGTGTTGGTTTTCTTTTGGTAGTTAAACGAAGAGCTAAATTGTTTTTTGAACTATATGATAACAGGTTCCTTTAGTTTGAAGCAACTAAAAGTTGCAACTGGCGATTTTGATCCCTCAAACAAGATTGGAGAAGGCGGCTTTGGATCTGTATATAAGGTACAAGAGTGTCTTCAAGGTCTAGAATGTTAGTATTCTCAAAAACAGATGAGTACCAGTTTAAGACAGAAACTTGACAATGCAGGGGAGATTACCAGATGGAACTTTGATTGCAGTGAAGATGCTATCTTCCAAATCACGTCAAGGCAACAAAGAGTTTGTAAACGAGATCGGTATGATCGCATGCCTGCAGCACCCGAACCTTGTGAAGCTATACGGATGCTGTTGTGAGAATAATCAGCTTCTTCTTGTCTATGAGTACTTGGAGAACAATTGTCTTGCCGATGCATTATTTGGAAGAAGCGGTCTAAAGCTAGAATGGGGAACAAGACACAAGATATGCTTAGGGATAGCGAGAGGGCTTGCGTTTCTTCATGACGATTCAGCGGTTAAGATCATACACCGAGACATCAAAGGAACAAACGTACTGCTAGACAAGGATCTCAACTCAAAGATCTCGGATTTCGGGTTAGCTAGGCTCCATGAAGACGAGGAGAGTCACGTTACCACCAGAGTTGCAGGAACAATGTCAGTCTTTTATAGTCACATGAATCCAACGTATGATAATGTTTTAATGGCGTTTTTAAAATGATGTTGTTTTTGGTTGCAGAGGATATATGGCTCCTGAATATGCAATGAGAGGTCATCTAACAGAAAAGGCAGATGTTTACAGCTTTGGTGTGGTGGCAATGGAGATCGTAAGTGGGAAGAGCAATGCAAATTACACACCAGAGAACGAATGTTGCGTTGGCCTTCTCGATTGGGTACTGAGCCAAATCCGTTTTTTCTACATAAAAGAATCATCTCTCTCTCTCACACACTCTAAAACTAAAAAAAAAGGTATCTTTATTTTCTCCATTTCAGGCGTTTGTGCTGCAGAAGAAAGGAGATTTTGCGGAGATTATGTACCCGAGGCTGGAAGGAGTGTTTGATGTGAAGGAGGCAGAGAGAATGATAAAGGTTTCGCTTTTATGCTCCAGCAAGTCTCCGACATTAAGGCCAACCATGTCGGAAGTTGTGAAGATGCTGGAAGGGGAGACTCAGATAGAACACATCATCACCGACCCTGGAGTGTACGGAGATGACTTGAGGTTTAAGCGATCGTCGGAGATGGGGACATCTTCTTTACCTTCCGATTATATCATTCCTTCTTCATGTGAATCTTCTTACGATCTGTACCCTCTTAGTCCCGAGTCCATTGTGTTTTCTAGACCGTAAGCCTAAACAGAGTTTCGATCCCCTGTTTCCTTTTTCATGAAATTGCATTGCCAAAGACTTTAGCTTTGGGTTAATATAATAAGAAAGAAAAAAAACGACCCTTGAAAATCAAATGTCGCTACATTGGGTTAATTTTTGTGGGATTGGGTGGTTATATGAAATTAGTTTTAGATTTTTAGTCATTTGAATGGATTTTTAATCTTACTACCAAAAAAGAGGTTGACAACAAAAATTAGTTTACTACAAAAACGTGTATAAATAGATGAAAAAGCAGATGGTCATTGTAGGCAATATGTATTTTTTTTAATTTATTTAGTGATAATTACCACCATTACTTATTTATTTAGTGATTATGTTTGCTGCCATGGTGTTTCTCATCCTCCGAGTGTAGTGTCTCTCATGCTTTTATTTCATAGGATATATTGATATTACACCTTATCCATTTCTCCTAATCTCTTATGTGGTATATTGTTTGTACTTTTCATCAGTAAAATAGTATAATCAGTAAATTTTGTGTTCATCATTTCAATATTAAGAGCAAGGTAAACCCCATTGATCTAAACCAACTTTAAATTTCACCTTGTCCTCAAGATGAGTATTAACAATATGTCTTATTAACTGAACACTGGTTTTTGATACTCCATCCGTTTCATAATAAATGTCATTTTAGATTTCATTTTTTGTTTCAAAAAGAGTGTCATTCTGCATTTTCAATGTAAATTTTTTACTCTTATTTCCTGTTTTATCCTTCATTTAAAGATAATAGTCTTTGAAATTAAATGTTATAAAAGTATATTAATTAGGGGTACATTTGTATATTTTTTTAATTTCTTAATTTGTGTAAAATGTGTCAGAATGACACTTATTATGGAACGGAGGGAGTAGTGCCTAATTAGATTTAAAAGCATCATTGTTTATTGAGTAGTTGTTTTGTTTAATCAAAGCATGTCATATCAGAGTCGGTCTTGAAATTTTAATCATTCGTTACATTTTCCTAAATATTGATAACATCACAAATGAATTTTTCTTTGGAATCTGAAAACAAAATCACATAGATTTAAGAGCTCAGGATCTGCCAAATGTTTGCTTTACTTGGATGGAATTACAAGCTGCAACAAACGATTTTGATCAATCCAGCAAACTTTGAAGAAAGAGGTTTTAGATCTTTATATAAAATATGCTAAAACAGATGCCTAATGCAAAGATATGCTAAAGACGTTGTTGACAAAGATTTATCAGAATGGTGACTCATGTGGTTTTGGTGTAATTATTGATGCAAATGGTACAATAATCAGTTGCTATCACGTTTGTCACTGCTCTACTATTCCCTACCAATCATGTGATACTCGAAGAAAGATAAATTTTGTTTTTCTTTTTCCACTTTTAATACTTTCATTGTGTGTGTTTTTTTATTTAATTTTTCTTTGTTGGTGATTTTTTGATTATATATATCGAAGTTACCTTAAAGGATGGAAGGAAGTTCCTAAGGTGTAGTGATGAAATTTAGCATAGAGAAACATCGTGATCATCCATTTAAAAGAATGTGGAGAATGTTTCTTGGCGACTCAGCTTTGTGACTCCAACAGTGTGCGTCAAGGCCAATTCAGAAAGACAAGCCCATTTGTTGATCTGAATGATCACTAAAGTGTTGATTGGTTCACCCGCTATCATTCGCAATCACCCGCAAATGCAGCGTTTGCGGTTAGTAGTGGTTAGTAGCGGTTAGTGGCATTTTATCACAATCATATGAATCGCTGCAAATCGCTCTGTATCATTTTATACCGCTAAAATTTAAAATTTCCCGCTAGCGTTTGCGGTTGCGGGCGGTAGCGGTTGGATAAAAAAATAAAAAATAAAAAAATATCAGTTGAAGATAATATGATACAAGCATAAGTGCCATAATATTTTAGTTTAATTTATTTATATTAATTGTTCTGTTTCCACTTTTAAATTTAAAGTAAGAAATTATAAATATGTATCTTATTAATTACAAAATTAGTTTGTTATAATTCTTTTTTTTTGTTCTTCAGAAAGTTACATAATCAAATGAGATGACATGTGTGTTACTTCAACGGATCATTGTAGAAAAACAAAGTCAAGATAAATACCCTAGATTTTTTAGTGCACTCCAGAAAGAATGTATTTTGAAGAATACTAATGAGCAATTTAGAGTTGATTTGAGTTGGGATAGTGTAAAAATCGATTAGATCAATTGAAGAAAATTTACATCAAACATAAGACAAATCCAGAAGATCCACGTATTGGAGCAAATTTTTTCCAGTCTATTACATTACTAGACACAACTTTGGGTAATGTTCCCAATAATTGAAATAAAACATATTAATATAAAAATTTAATTTTTAAAATAATTATTTAGTATTTACTTATAATTTATTAATTATTTTAAACTATTGATTTTGATATTAATCATAATAATATAGTTTTTCTGTTTTTTTTATAATTATATATGATATTTATTTTGGTAATTGTATGTTTGACCGCTAAAACAATCACCGGTTTGCCAGTCAAAATTGTCCCGCAAACGGATCCACCTTAAAAAACTTAACCGCTGAATAACGCTCAAAACTACAATCATCCGCTTCCGCAAACTCCCGCACTCGCAACCACAACCGCTGCGTTTAAACCAGTCAAGCCCTAAGTATGTTTAAGATATGTTAAGGATGATTAATGATGAGTTTGGGGTGAGATTTCCGTATAATAAAAACAATTTAGTTTGGAGGAAGAAAAGAGGTCAGGTCGGAACCGTAAGCGGTTTTATAAAAAGAGGATATTTAGAATTTCGAACTAAGTCAGAAGAGAATTCAGTTCAGCGTTCTAAATACTGTTATAGAGAGTTCGGTCTAAGAGATAAACGTTTGTTTAAGTAGAGAGATAGTGTAATAAATTCTGATCCCCTCATAAATGATCTATGGGATGTATTTATAGTGGAGGTTGGGAGACGAGTTTCCTCCAAACCGGGACGATGTGGCAGCTTCAACGCATCCTGCGGGTATGGCGTCTCGAGCCGCGCATTTGAACCACTCCGCGGCGAGTGATGATGGTCATTCGCCAAGCTATTTGCACAGATAGGCTACTGTAGACGAACTGCTTCTACACATATCACGTTCTGCTCGGTTCCGCGTACTGTAAATCGGCGTTGTGATGATGACGAGTTGGACGGGGCCACGCTGACTGGATTTATTGACTTTAGCTGGGTTTCTGTTGACTTGATCTATGGGCCTTATTACTCAAAATATGCTTAGCTAATTAGGGGTGCTAAGCCCACCTCCAATACCATTCAGATTCAATCTGTTTTTTTTTTTCTTTTCTTAAAAAACTGTCTTGTCAATTTATCTATGTAACAAAAAAAAAGTAGAGTGAAAGGAGTGAGGGGAGTGATCGTACAAAAGAAAGAGGAGGGTTCTAGGGTTTTTTCACAATTACATTTTCACAATATCGCCGTTTTTCCATCGACTTTATCCCATCAAAGTGCTTCCGTCTTTCGGCACGCAGTGATCTCCCCACACTTCTTCCCTTCTCAGTCGCTCCTGTTTCTGGATTCCACCATAATCGGTATGTTCGCTCTCTCTCTACATAAGTATACCAAAAGCTATAAAGTGTCCTATACTATAAGTCTATAAGATAACGCGCTCTTAAAAAAAACTAGAAGTAAGAAAAAAACTTATGCACAATTTTTTACTATAAAATTTTAATCAATCGTTACGTTTTCTTAAATATGCATGCATAAAATTACTAATGAATTTTTTATAATCTGAAAACAAGATCACATAGATTTGAAAGCCCAGGGTATGCCAAATGTTTGCTTTACTTGGATGAAATTGCAAGCTGCAACAAACGATTCTCATCAATCCAACAAACTTTGAAGAAAGAGGTTTTACATCTGTATATAAACTATGCTATAACAAATGCCTAATGCAAAGATATGCTAAATCAGATGTTGTTGTTGCCGCACTTGTTTCTAGGAGAACATCTGCCTCCTCTACCGAGAGGAAACAGCCATTAAATGCGAACAATCATATTTGCAAATTTGCTCCTTCTGCATATAATGGATGTTGTTAGAGACACAACGCTCTTTGATTTTATCATCGAATTTGTGTCCAGTGAGGAAGCACGTGGAAAGAGTGTTGGATGATCCAACGATGCTGATTATGACTTACAAAGGAAAGCACCATCACCACCAGTTCGTGATGCAGGAGAACATATCTCCCAGTTTCCTATTTGGTCCGGCTTGAATGAATGGCTGAGAAATAGAGGATGGTGAAATTAATTAGTTTGATAGACTTTTGTAATAATTATAAATAGTGGCGGTGTTTTTTGTATTTTACTTTTCTTAACTTTAGTTTTAGATTTTTAGTCCTTTGAATGGATTTTTAATCTTATTACCAGACATGCAACACAAATTACTTTACTACAAAAACATGTGTATATTCGCGCCTGTTGTGGCTGGCATTGGGCTCTAACACTAGTGATTAGTGAAAGCAGTCAGCCAGCCCTTTGGCTCTATCCTGTACATTATTCTTTTAAAATCTCTCCTTTTTTTTTGTTAGAAGAGGTGTTTGATTTTTATCTATACAATTATGGCTGCTCTTTCCTGAGAAACTAGAGTGATCGTAGGCACTCAAGGCTTAAGATTATATTGTAACAAAAAAACAAGATGGTTATGTATTTTATTTCGTATGTGTTATTCATAGCT